TTTTAAAGGCTAGTTTCAAGTCTAATGAGACCGACACGCGTGATTCATATTCTATTGAGAATTTTTCTCATTTATTTCGATTTTTCATCATAAATAACAACAAGAATGAGGACGTCAGCTTTGTCTTCTCCTCAGTCGACGCTCACACCCAGATTTTATCTTGACTATTTTGACTCTTGTAACAAACAGTAATATTAGATGAAATTTGCCCATTCATTTATCTGGAATTGCATAGCTTTGGAATGGTTTCACTATCGTGTAATTGCGCAAATATTTTTAGAGCAGTTTTTAAAGGCCACAAACGATCGTAGTCCATTTTTTTGTTAGCGATGAGATGTGCACAAAGACATTTGAGCCGTGGTGGTGTTTGATATGATCGTAAAAGAATCTGTAATTTGTTTTGGACAGCTATGCCAAGTGGTGTTTTACCCTCACTATTTACACAATCGACGTGAGCTCCTGCGTTAATCAGAAATTTAATGATTGTCATCGCTTTCGAAATATCATATTGACTTGAGCTAATCGAGATGATATGTAGAGCTGTGTTACCTTCATTATGATCCACTGCATCCAAATCTATCCATCGCTTACCGTAATCGACGAGAAGCCTGGTAGCATTCACATTGGGAAAGCTAAACAACAAGAAAATTCATAAGATCCAAAGTTAAGGGTGTGGGAGATCGATTATGACACCTATACAAAAAAAATCCTCTTTCAGCTCGAACCCTAAGGAATTAAAATGTGAAGCATGACGGACCGGCTTTACATTGACACGAAGACGCCGCTCTGATGCATCTATTGGTCTCAAGCTGTTGAAAGCTTTAGAAGGTTAATAAATACGTATGTAATCAACACGAGTGAGCATGATCGTGCGTTAAATATGCTCCAGCATTTGAGCTATATAATTCAGGTGAGTGGATGGAGGTATCTATGAGTGTGTCTTTTTCACGCAGAGTCTCATACAATGTGTACTGATCTTTCCTCTCAAACAGTAGAAGTGATCGACAATCACGAATGATTAACTGTTGCGCAGTTCTATCTTTTCGATCGGTTGAATGTTATGTCGCAATGAATATCCATACCTATCCTCAATGAAAATTGGGAACTCAACGCCATTGATGTGCGACAGTGACAATGTAACTGCAAAGCAATCATTGTTTCATAAATATTTATAGAAACTGTACAATGTCAAAGGTCACGCGCTGAAAACGCCAAGAAATAATCCAAGCATACATATGCAGGAATTATTCCGAAACAGTGGTCATCTGACCGTTTGGAAGATCTTGTTCTATACAAGCGAAGATATATTGAACGTTAAATTTCCATTCTTCTCTAAGTACCTCAGTATTCTCGTGTCTTAGATTTTATCAAAAATGTGTGCCACATCGAAAATGATAGTTTTGATTAAACATGGGCATGCGTAGCATTGAGTTTGGCAAAAGTGAATTATATTGCGAAAATTAATGCGAGAAAGAAAACTTCTTCTACGTCGACAAGGACAACAATGACATAAAGGTTACTGAAACGAACCTGCATCCAGCTTGTAATGCAGTCGATAGATAAGGCTCGATAATGTTTGTGTTTGATATACGAATAGGACTTACTTGCATAACTTTTTTTTTTCTAGAACATGGCAAGTTGCCTCATATGTAGATCAATTTTAATACATATCCTGTGTTGTTGTGAAATTCAAAGATGAATTTCGTGTTTTTTTCCAGAAATATGGAGTGGATTATTAGATACAATATCGGTCTTTTTGATAAACACAAACGAAGTATAGATAGCACAATGAGAGAACTAGAAGGTTTGGGTTCGAGGGTCGAATTAGGTGAAAAAAATAAAAAAGTACTTCACTTCATACTGATCAAGTTCTTGTAGATACATACAAGTATTGACTCAAATATATGAGACCGCCTGCATTCGTTAGGTTTTATAGATTAACCACGATCCATCACAAGGTCAAGGAAGTGTTATATCCAAGTATTTGTGGTGATCTAAGATAGACACTGAAATATTGTATTATGGAATAGATCAATGCATTGTTAGGGCTTCAGGATTTCAAATCGATTCGAAATCAAAAATTTCCTTGACAATACAAAAGCTCGTGGTCCACAACTCGAAAATAACATGTCCACATATCTATCATGGTCTACGGGACAGCGGTGGAATTACTTTTCGCGTTTTTTACTTTGTCATTTATTAAAAATTGTATTTCATAAAATATTAGTCCTGCATTTCAGAGGAACTGAATAATCGAATGCAAAATATCTTCAAGGAATTCTCGAAGATGATAAATGTTTTCGTTTCTTTAGTTGGCAGCACCTATGAGAATAAACTATCCAGAATATCTATTTTGTATACGGATAAATGCGTAGTATTATGAAGATGAATGCATTGTTTGAAACTAAGTAGTCAAGTTGTTACAGACTTATCAATTGGTCAAAGACTTTTTAATTTCGTTTGAAGATAGATTAAATCTTGATTAACAACAATGCGGTTATTTTATAAGGGGTAAACAGAAGGGGAAAAGAAAGTAATTATCCATTAGTTTATTCCCACCTATATAGTAGGATAAACTTGGAAAAAACACAGCTGAAGAAGGATAGATCAAAGAATAAGAGAGAAGAGGAGGAGAAGAAGAAAGAAAGGAAAAGAAGGAAAATATCATATGTCAAAATATGTACTACATTTAACGAACGAATATCTTATTTGCTCGCTTACACAAATTGAAATCGATATTTTGCCGAAGTTAGTGATGATTTATCTCTCTTCATCATTTTTTTCATATCGAATTAATGTTTTCTGCCTTTTTCATGACGAGTTAGATGTAATAATATCACTTACTCAATTACGGGTTTGATCTCATTTGCTCGATAATTAATATCCGTATATGTTTGCCGACTAACACTCAGATGTAACAGAGTTTGCCCCTTTTCTGTTCTATATTGCTTGCGACATAGGTCTTTGATCCATTGAATTATCGAATGACGTTCTTGATCATTGTCAATATTTTGTTCGAGAACCTATAACATAAGAAAAAATACTTGTGAGATCAGTCTTTGTTTCATTTTGAATCCAAACAACTGATAAGTGATATATGTTGAAGATAAAATTTATTTATGGAACAATTGTTACGTGTGTGTAAAGTCCGAAGCGATAGAATGCATTTCGTGTTAGGATGAAATTCATACTGTTACATTAGATTGTTGAGTACTTGAAAGAGTTTTCATGAAATTTTCTATCAGAAAATGGTCTTTCATCAGTCTTCAAGAATTGAGGATATGGATTGCAGTTGCTTACCATCGCCTATATGTCAAATTCTGAATAATGCTTGTAGACAGTGTATGAAATATGACAGCACTATTTTGTTTATACATCGCCACGTTATTGACAAATAATTTCCCTTATGAGCACAGTTTTATATTATAAGAAATGCGTTTTTTCTATACAAAGTCTACTTCTATTTGTTTATTCATATTAATTATTTTATTACATTTACAACATTCTATTGCATGTTTTTTAGTAACGTCTTTGCTGAAAATTCTCAAGATTTTGGGGAAAGATATGTTACAGTTTGTATTGCGAAAGGCGAAGCATTGGCGATATACAAATAAAGTCTCTATTGATTTATACTTAACCTTTTTGTTAGACCATAATGCACCAATATAGTGTATCAACTATACTTTGACGTTTACAACATTGCCTGAGATATATCTTTTGTAAAATCTTTAAAATTTTCAGTAAAGACGTTACTAAATAGCGTTCGATAGAATGATATGAATATGGTAGAAAAAATACTTTCATAAAGAAAAAAGTTAAAATATGATTTTTGCATATTTCATAAAACGTGAATCAGAGTATTCCATATGATTTAAAGATGATTGTGTGAGAGAAATTCAAATATATTCGTTTGTTAGTTCACTTGAATTCGTCAGATTCTCATCTAGGCATATAAGGTACAATATTTCAAACTAATGATGCACATTGACATATAATGTATTTCCGCTAAATAAATTTTCTATTGACCTATCTGAATTCTTCTTCATTGGAAGTCAACAGTTCTGAGATATATTTCGTTTATCTCAATGAACACTATCTATCATATAGATAATTTTGAAAGTTTTACAAGAAGGACTACGATTCAATTAAAAGAACCTTTTAATTTACAATTAGAAAAAAGTAATCATTTCTGTAAAAATATTTACCGAACGAAAATACTCAATTTCATTATAATACTAATAAGTTCGTTGACTAGAGGGAAGAGACAATAATACAAAAAGATAAATCGATGGATAGGGTAAAATAGCACATACAATGAAACAAAGAAGGAATCACGAAAATGAAAGACGTCTGTTATTGATATTAATAGAAAATTGTATGGCGAGAGAACGAAAAACTCTACATATTAAGGTGTATTAATTATTGAATGAGTAAGTTATAAATATAATCGAACTTTTATTAACAACAAACGAACTAACATTTCTCGGCGGCCGCCCATACAAGAAGTCAGAAACGCAAAACAAATTGAAGCTACGTCAAAATTTGAAAAAAAGTATTATGGTGGTGATCAGTAAACATGCGCCAAGTATTTCTTCCCAAAAATTATCTCTTTCAATGAATTGAAAATATGATAAATATAATGTCATAATTAAGGATAGCTAGAAGTTTTTTAAGAATTTTAAAAAGCAGTATATAACTAATTCTTGCATGGAAAAAAATCAACAGAATCCGAACTTCAGTATCATGTTATCAATAACTTTTCGAACTTCCTAAGTGAAGTTTTAAATCAAGATAAACTAGCTTTATTGATTTGCGTTTGTCATCTTTGTTATACAATTCTTTATTTCATTCCTAATACTAAAATGCATGGTCCTGTGCTCTAGCCATATGTTTATCTCGAAAACAATCTACTCAAGTGATCTACTTTTGGCTGTCATATAGTGAAATATTTCTCTATTTGTCAGTAGATTTTAATTTTATAAAAGGCATTTTCACTCATATTAATTCGAATTGAAATATTCACTTAACTTATTTGAAAAAGAATTTTTGATTTTAGTAACAAAACGTGACATAAATGCATCAGATGCATTTGAATGATGGTGTGAATAGTGCTGAGTGGACACACGTTGAAGTAAAAGCCGATGTGCTTAAACGCAATAATACTGTTTTTTTTTTCACCTTTTTTTCATGTTATAAAAAGAATATATCTGCTTCTATTTATAAAGTAGAGAAATGGAAGAAGAACCAAAGAAAAAAACTAGATTTTTAGGTGTCCCCTTTCGGAAATTGTTATCATTTCAGCTTTTTATGTTTGTATTCAAGAGTCGAGTAACTAAAATAGATCGATTTTTACTATCGTTAAACACTGTCGGCAACGCAATACAAGATACAAGTTTGTTGCTCACTAATTCCGCATCAATCTCTCAGTCACCTATTCAACTATTTCGCACGTTTTTAATGACAGATCGAAAATGAAAAGTATTTTGGAATGGACATGAACTTCTTTGCTTTCTAGCGATTGCACTACTTCTCATACATTGGATCTTACCTTCGTTGCGATAACTACTAGGCATAAGACATTCTTAATGTTATTGTCATCTGGTTTCGGTTGTAATTCATCGAAGATAAGATAGCATGCCTCCAAGAAATATTTGACTGGTATTGGTACTTGAGCAGTGAGCATCTTACAGAAAATCCAAACGAATATGCAGAGACTGGTTGAATCACCCACTCTTCGCTTCAGATAATAGCCGTGCAGCAACAGATGAAAACTGTGATTGAATTCTTTTTTCTGGACAAGCATATCTACACGTTCGAACAATGGATCGAATAGCTTTTCATTCATTGTAGCTAGAAAAATACGTTCATGAATAAGTAGTGCTTCGATGTATAGGCGATCATTATCGTGTTGGATCTGTTCGAGTTCATCGACTGATTGACATTCTAGCTGGAAATTGTAGGCAATAATTGGTTCTGATACTATTTTGGGTATATTCAATAGTGCACGTTTATCAAGAGCCAATCGTAATAAATGCACCATGCGTTCTGATTCCTGTGCTCCATTATGGTTGTTCGACATCGCATATGAATTAGCAGCAAACAGTTCAAGTTCATTAAAAGTGACCTCATCGTGATTATGTTCGAGTAAAAAAGCGACTGCATCGAAATTATTATTTTCAGCTACTAATATCAATGGTGTCTTTGCATTTCTATTTTTGACGTTAGCAGAAGCACCAGCGTAACACAATAGTTGTATTGATTCCAAACGAGCATTCATAGCAGCAGCAGTCAATGCCGTATTTCGATTCACTTTTGTCCTATACTCAAGGTTGGCGCCTCGCTCTATGAGATAGGCAAGGATTGGTTGATGACCTATGCTAGCAGCAAAAATCAAACTACTACATTCGTTTTCATCATTCGTCACTGTTTCATTGACATCAGTATATCTATTGTCAACCAAGAATCGAATAACGTCGAATCGTCCCATGATAGCAGCATGAATCAACAATGGATGAATTGGACCGTGATTAACATCGGCTCCACCGACATCGATTAAAATACGAGCCACAGTAAAATGTCCGCGATCCAGAGCACACCATAGTGCAGTAACTTCGCTTACTAATTCTCCTGTGACATTATACATTGTTCCCTCAAGTTCAACTGATTGCTGTGTAGGCCGATGAGCAAGCAGTATGCGCATTACCTCATCGAATCCATGCCGAGCAGCTATCATCATTATGCTAACTTGTTCCTCTTTGTATTGATCTACTGCTAGAAGAGCCATCTTTGCATAGGATGTTTGTTGTAAATATGCATCCAACTCGTTAGCTTTATTTCGAAGAACTAATTTGTAAAGCTCATTTGGGATAAAGAATTCGTCTTCCTCCATCGGATATTTTCTCATTTTGTATAAAGTTTTTCAAATAAAGACGTAATATATATTCGAATACAAATTTACACTTGGTTTTTTCATTAGTAAGTAGGAAGTGTAATGATGAAATTTGTCGTATTGAATTGCTGTTTGTGCAATGACACATGCATCATCATCGGTAAAGAACGACAAAATAAAATAATACAAGCTATATTACACTACAGCTTCAATCCATTCGTTGGAGGAAGAAAAAAAAACGCTTCACCAAAATTTCATTCAATCTATGTTTAGCATGACAAGTATACGAGGCATAAAAAATAGTATATTAACTAATGTCCACGCCAGAAGTAGATGGGGAAAACTCTAGGAGGAATATCTCCTGAGCGGATGCAGCTAGCGACCTGCGGTTTTCACCATTAGAAAGATAAGATCCGGGGGCATCAACAAATGGTAAAGTATAATTGGTCAGCAATAGACCAATCAGATGCATTCTCGACGGACATGTTGAGCACGATATTCTGGAGCTATTTCTCAACTTTGCTCAATTATTTATTTATGTTTTTGATGGAAAACATTGTTCTCTTTCGATCTACGAGAGGCCCTTCTTTCTAGCTTGCTCTGTTCAAGAGTTATAAGGGTTTTCCTGAGACCCCTGATTTCAGCCAACTGACCTTGGATCACCGAGAAAACAGTCTGGGATGGGGTAATTCATCATGCTGAGTCGAACGGTGATATTTGTTTTTAGATTCGAAACCAGCTTACAATGCTTTTTACAGATTTTTTAAATTTCATAGTATCTACTGCTACGTATCACACAAGTCCACATTCCGTAAATATTGAGATAACACCGTAAGGTGATTTCGAATCTAAAAACAAATATCACCGTTCGACTCAGCATGAGGAATTACCCCATCCCAGACTGTTTTCTGGGTGATCCAAGATCAGTTGGCTGAAATCAGGGGTCTCAGGAAAACCCTTATAACTCTTGAACGGAGCAAGCTAGAAAGACGAGCCTTCCTGTAGATCGAAAAAGAACAATTTTTTCCATCAAAAACATAAATAAATAATTGAGCAAAGTTGAGAAATAGCTCCAGAATATCGTGCTCAACATGTCCGTCGAGAATGCATCTGATTGATCCATTGCTGACCAATTATATTTTACCATTTATTGATGCCCCTGCATCTTATCTTTCTAATGGTGAAAATCGCAGCTCGCTAGCTGCATCCGCTCAGGAGATATTCCTCCTAGAGTTTTCCCCATCTAGTTCAGGCGCGAACATTAGTTCAGTAATGGGCAGATCTTCAAAACTGGAGTGTATGGATGTGGATTGGAGGCGCCTGAAGAGAACTTTCTCACCTAAATCTACACCATAGCCAAGTCTCATCTACACCCACACCCACATTTATGTTGTCACTGAGACACATGGTTGCTCGTGCTTAGCAAGAGTATTGAAAAGTTCGAAAAGAAAGAATTTATTTATCAAAAGATAGAAAATTATGTCTTCTATTTAACTGATCTCCTTTGGGATATCCAAGCTTTCCTGGGTAATTGAAAACATCCTTACGATGATTTTTTAAACAATAAAATATGTTTTTTTTAGTTAAAGTCGCACACCAAAAAACTGCAGAATTTCTTTCTCTACTCGATTGCGTGATTGGTGAACCTTATGCACCATGTTTTTGCCAAAGAACGGGTGGCATTAATGGTGTGGGTTCAGATCTTCCCTCCATTCATAGCTGCATCCGCACTCACATCCCCATTCGCCAATATCCACACACAATTTAGGAACCAAAACTCCTGCAGGTGATTCGATTCTAACGGTTTAAGATTAAGTTCGATCGAATTAATTGTTTCAGAATCTGAAAGATTGCAGCGAATTACATGTAGACACACTATTTCAGACCATCACACACTCTACTTGATCAATCGGGTATGGGTATGAGTGGATGTGAGTGCGGATGCAGCTATGAAAGGAGGAAAGATTATGAAGCCCATACCCTCCTAATGAAACTCACTCTTTTTCTAAATCGAATCAAAGTATCCAAAAAGTGAATCTTTTTTTGCATAGTATTCTACGTTGGTGAAATCGAAAATATTAATCGTTTTGTGTATTGTTTTGTTTTCAACCATCGAAAAATAATTAAGCATGTCCTTAATTTAACGATACTAATATAATAAAATTGAAAGAAAAGATTGATCGAGATAAAAAAATATATCAGCTGTTATTAGCACTATTTTGTGTCGAAAAATTCATCTTTATTAGGAAAAAAAGCTAAAAAAAAAAGTTATACTGTCAGAAAAGATATCATTACTTCATTCTAAACCGTTCAGATTCATTTTTGTACATAGTGTAGTTCGATTTCATTCATTGAACAATTTGTATACAATTGCAAATATTTTCTCCGTAGAGTTTATTAAAACATATACATTTAAGATAAAAGAAAAGATAAAGATAACGCATGGTTAAGTACTAACTGAAAAGAATAAATCAAAGTTAAAAAAATTTAAGCATTGAGAAAAATAAGTGTAGTAAAAAGAGTCATAGATACAGCAAAAACCACTAGACAAAGACGATCAATGACCCTTGCCACAAATTTCCATTCTTGAGATTCATCATCATCTTTCTCTTGTTGCCGAAAATGACTAGTAAGAATAGCAAGTTGAGAAATAATAGTACGTAGCTCAGCATGAATCATTTCCATATTAGATGTATTCAATTCTTTCAATGTATTCTGATGATGATAAGAACGATGACTTGTTGTTGTTGAAGGTACAGCAAATTCTAATAGTGAAACTGAGCGTTGTTTCTCTAGATTTGCTTGAAATTCTAACGATTCACTGTCAATATTCAAACCATTGGTCGATAACAACTCGAATGTATTTTTGAATAATGGTTCAGAAGGAATCTTAGAATAATCATCAGCAATCAATTGATTTATATTATGTGATTCTTGTTTTGGAGAAGTCAATCGACGACGAATCGCACACCAACTCAAATCATGATTAGGGCGCTTCATACACAATAGCCATGCTAAATAGTTACAAATATACTTACGAATCTGAAATAATTTCTAAAATCATGTGATTTATTCATTTTTAAATATGATTTACCCATACTGACATTGCAGAATTTTTAGAGTTTCGAAAATGAAGTGATAATACTAATACTGATGCAATAACTGAAACTACTGACATAATCATAACACACATGAAATAAACGGTAATAATTGGTATAGCATGGGAACTTGGTGGCATAATTTCTGATAGAAGTAAACTGAACATAACAACAGTGAGAAGAGTTGTAATCTCTGAAGATTTAGAATGTATAAGAATAAATTTTTTATCATCAAATTGTAACTTACGCAAGTTTATTTTATCCCCACTATCCGGTGGTAATACAAGACCGAGTAGTGTCATACAACTGATAAGAAAACAAGGTACTATGAAACGAAATAACAATAGTATTAATTCAAAGATTAAAAGAACTTTTGTAATTTAAACTTTATTACCAACGGTATTTGTAACATAATAAAGAGAACGTCGACGCATTCGGATAGTGTATAGTACGTATGGATACACGTTTGGACAGCAGTCGTATTTGGTACTATTGTTCGTTGCAGAGAAATCTAAAACAAAATGAATAGAATAAAATGCACTTGATTCATATTGATTACCTTCTAGATCCCATTGGGCATTTATGATATATGCATCTAATTGCCCTTTGCTACTTCCTGCCGTCAAATTGATTCCTAATTAATAAAAAGGTATATAACATGTAGAGACATGTGGAATTTCATCCTAGAAATAAAATGATTCAACTACACACCAGCATTATCGTATGTCCAAGATCCAAATTTCAGCGAACAATATTGTGTATCCAAAAAAAAGACAAACATTCAAGATAAAAGTACGATATGACTGACATTTCTTTTTGATAGTTACAAATGGAAATGCAGCAATATTAAATGGACAACTTGATTTGAATAATACTGGTGGAACATATAGTATATCACCACTATACCGCACAACGGCATTGACTTTCACTGCAGCATCAAAGTTTTCATCGGCACTTAAGAAAAAAAAACAAACATAGTTTTTCAAGATATCTATTTTTTGAAAAATAATAACGTGTTATATAGAAAAATGTCTGGTGTCCAAATTTGTGTACTTGGTATTCGTAGTGTTTCAATATTACCAAACTCTTCTGGTTTCCATCCTAAACCATAATCATTCCACATCTATACAGACATATATGAACAATAATATCAGAAACTGAAGCAATCAAAAATACGAAATTAACGCGTTACAACGACCAACTTCTTAAATCACTTATAAAAAGTTCCGTCAACATGCATTAAAAGACTGCGTTCATTCATTCATGTAGGATCGTCACATATGTCTTGAGAAGGCCATTTTATAAATATTCAATTATCTTTTTTAATCTTTTCATTGCTCTAAAAAGAAAACTCTTCATTTAATTCACACAAAAATATTCTACATACATACAGCAAAAGAAATTTTTAAATTATTTAATCTGTGGGAAAGCTTGAGGCTTTAGTACATGTAGCAAGAACTCAATTAAGACAAAGTGCAAGATATTCTCATTGTGTTCAATACTTTGAACTCCATTCCTAAGTAAAACATTAAAATTCTCTTAATATGCAGTACAAGTTTCGATTCTTTCATTCATACAAAAACTTCTGCGATATTTCGTGTGACGACCACTCGATTAATTCGCAATAAGATAGATTTTAATTCTATTTATTCGTTTAAGCCCCCCCCCCCCCTCCTCAAAAATCTATATCAGCTCAGGAACATCCAAATTAAATGAAACTGTCAGGAAATGTTGGGGCTGGAGAGGGGAGACTACCATAAAATTTCCGGCCCTAAATCTTCAGGTTTTAGGGAGATATGAACCAAACAAGGGTCAAAAATGACTCATTTGACATCCAAAATTTTTCGGTGCTGGTTCGTTCAATATATTAATATTTTTTTTTTTTTTGGAAAGAGTATCTCAAGATGCAGGGCATAATGGGCCCATTTTTTTGAAATAGTCCCTTTTTAAGCGCAAAAAAGAAATCACGAGTTCAATTACTGAAAAAAGTGTCAAAAAATGGTAACCAAATCATATAACTGGCTGTGTATTGACCAAACAAAGGCTTAATTAAAAAAAGTGGCCCCATCATGCNAGCAATAAAAGCAAAAACATATACAGCGGCAAGGCGAATATTGTTAGAATAGTTCTATCGTCAATAGATCTAGTGGTCTTGAATTAACTACGAACAGGAAAATGCAGAGTAAACAGTCAGATTTTAACGCCAAGATCTCGATGCTGATGACAATCGATGATACAATCGATTCATCGTCTAAATGACATCCTTAAAACATCTCTACCCATATGTATATGATAGAAAGAAAAAAATCGGATTAAAGTCGATTATTTATCACGTCCTAAATTAATTCAAGAAAAGATAGTTCATCCTAATTGATTTAAATCCCATTTTCATTAGTTAGGCATTTAAAATCGAATTTTAATTGAGAAATAACTAATTAAATTTGGATTTTTTCAACGCTTCTTTTTACATGGGTAGGATATCAAGTACGACGACGACCTCATCCACTTTGGAACTTGGGCTTGGACTAGGCTTAGGCTTTGGTCTTCCGCTACTGGCGCTTCTCAGTGTATTAGCTATTTGTCTCTGCTGTCGTTTGTGTCCGGGACCTTTCTGGTATGTAGACAAATACGACTCTCTTATCGATGTACATCGTATTCATCTTGTTTCATCAGGAAGCAACTTCGGCGAAGGTTTTGGGGAAAGGAGAAAGTCTTTTGTCATTTATGCCAAAGACCAATTGACTATTACTCACCTATGAACGAAAGTAGAATGCCTGATGAAGCGTCAAGACAATACCGGCAGCAGTACATCAATGACTATCCTTTGACAACGACGAGACGTTCATTCCATGACGATTCATTTCTTTCTGGCTCATTCTCTCCTTCCCATCTGAGTTCGATGATCACAACACGAACTACACTAATGTCGCCGCTCTCAAACAGTGCTATGCCAAGTGATGACATTTCTGAGCAAATAATGCGTCCTGTACCACCACGATTTCCAAGCTCCAATGGTTCAATTCTTGTGCGAGCCTATGTAGAACAAGAAAGAATCCAAGACACTTTTCCCATTGATTGATATTCGAAACAAAGTGCTCCACGGATTCTTATTTTAACAGAGACATGCAAAAATATTGTTATATATATGAAAGAAACATATAAGCGAAAAATGCCATTGAGAAAGTTTCAAACCCTACAATATGAAAACTTGATACTAGACGAATGTGGCGAAGAATGAGTTGCTATGTTTGTTATATAACTATTTTTTTCTTTCTCAACATTTCAATTACATATTACTACGATATAGTCGTAAAATTGATGTCAAGAACAGCTCCTTTCAAACGATATATTTTTGAGTGTGATATCACGAAATTTTTGTCAATATGTTGGCAGATTTTTATTTCATAAAAGGACTTTGTTACTCAAAATATGTATTCACATATTCATTTAGCTTCTTGGTGAAATAACTCATGGTTTCCAGAAAAAAAAACGCATTAGAAATTCTGCGTTCTAGCGCATTCCTAAAAACTTTGGTTGTCTTCATCAAAAGAGCGTCAAAAAAGTGCGTTTAAATACATAAAAAATGAGCGTTTCGAACCCATGAAAGCAAATCCGTTCTCTCATGAACGCTTTCAAAAGGTATTTTTCGATGGCATTTCCAATTGAAAAGCGTCTATTAATTAAAATAAAAGTAAGATCCATTCAAAAGGGAAACAGTGAACTTCAAGAGACTTTCAGACTATATGAACATTGGAGACACCGGGTGTAGATGTGGGATGTGAGTGTAGCTGCGAAAGAGTCAATGGAGAAACAAGTGATTTAATTATTTCCTAAATCAGTCGAAAATCATCAAAAGTCAGCTGAGTTTCAGTGAGTTTGAGTGATTATCTGCAATTTTGAATGATCTTCAGTCATTTCTGGCAATTTTTCATTTTGTCAAGCTCACCTGAAAAGAGTAGTGTTGGCGTCGATATGGGTATTTCGTTCAGCCACAACTACAACCATCTCATGAACAACGTCATAAAACTTTGAGTTATTAAGTATTATATTTATAAAGTTCAAACGAGCTCCAACTTTATTAGCAGATTGACAAAACAATAAAAGTGCACATTCTTGCTAAAATAAGGTCATCGAAAACTAGCGAGGGAGGTACTTGAAGTATCTCCTCAATTTAGAGATTATACCTTGGTCACAAGTAGACCTCAGTATGACTAGCAAAAGCCTAAAAGGATTCGAGTCCATGACTCCGTAGTCAAAAGTTATGGTCGTTTTACTAAATTTTTGACTCATAGCCAGGCATTTTCGAAAGAAGCGAACTAAGGAGTTTCGGTCTGAAATTTTGTCTATAGATAGATCTAATTGCAATTAGAATATCCTGAAAGTATCAACAAAAACAAATGCATCTTTCTTGAGATATTGAATTTACAAGTAAACTCGACCATTGCGTCCTTCATGTGTCAAGTGACTAGTTTTTGAAAACTCAACATCTTGAGAAAGACACATTCGTTTTTGTTTAAACTTTTAGAATATTCTAATAGCAGTTAGATCTATCTATAGACAAAATTTCAGGCCGAAATTCCTGAGCTCCCTTTTTTCGAAAATGCCTGTCTATGAGTGAAAAATTCAGTAAAACGACCATAACTCTTGACCACAAAGTCATGGGCACGAATCCTTTTAGGCTTTTGCTATCCATGTTGAGGTCTACTTGTGACCAAAGTATGAGCTCTAAATCGAGACAACACTTCGAATACCTTCCTCGTAAGTAGTTTCATTGGTTTCTTATGAATTTTCCATTCACTAAATGTATTTAAAAACTTTTAGAAGACTTTCAAGACTTCATAGGACCTCACAACTGAATTCTCAGATCTTTTCCTCTCGGACCCAACGAGACTCATTGACATTTAAACGAAAAACAAGCGTTTTTTTTCAAAGTTGACATTAAAACCCTGTTTCGTACAGTTTTTTATAGGGCATGCAACACAAGTTGATATAGGAGTAAGACAGAAAAAGAAAAATATGAGTAGAAGAAGTGATGGGCAGAGAGAAAAAACGAAAGAACACGAGGAGAGAACAGGGTAGACAGCCGCCACACATTACTGCATCTTAAACAAGCAGCAGTTGTACAATCCTAAACGTTTTCCCCATGGACAGGTTGATATGATTATTGGCATAGTCGGTAGCTCTGCTCATATCGCAAACCAATGCAGTCAGTCATTTGGTAGCTTTTCGTTTTGTTGGCAATACCATATAAGAGATGGTGACACTGATTGTGAGTATTTTAAATATCACGATATGGGACGTCCTTACACGCATACCCCACCTTATATCCACACTTCTAAACACCTTTAAAAAAGCTTTTGCAACTTGAAAAGTTTCTATTTCTTAACTATCTTTAGCTACATCGATCGAATTCTAACAAAAAGTACACTAATATGTGGTATATCAAAAGTTCTATCGATATCAGCTCTTGACTGTCCAATAAATAAAATGGGAAATATGAAATTTTTATAAAATAGAGTATTTTTCAAGTACTATCAATTTGCAAGAAGATCAACTACAATCTGTAGAAACTCTGTGTGAACTGAATTCTTTGTGTGTTATTTGTTCAAAATACCTCACATTCTGAAGACTTAGCAGAAAAAAAAGAACTGTTTTATTGTGGCCAAACGATCAGGTAGTAAGAAAGACAAAATTATACAGTGTCATCCAGGAACAGCTATATTTTTCTAAAAACAACCAAGACTAAGTGTAACTTTCAATATACCATTGAAAAAAGCATTCTTCATGCTACAAAAATCATTATTAAAAGTGAGTTTTCATTTTGTTTATGATGTATAAAAATGAATAACAAGTAGAAAATGATATTGCATGATGATAAAGTTGCAAGAACTTTTTTAGAGGTGGTTAGTTGTTGACTTCTTCTACTTCATAGATTCATTCAAAAAAAAAATTTGATCGACTTAAAAGTTAGCAATATGATCTACTAGAGCTTGACAAGCTAATTACAAGTTTATCGTTTTTATTTCAACAAAGTCACTGTTTGATTGAAAAAAAATTGTAATAATTCTGAATGACTGAATATGCTGCATTCGCAATTATAAACTTCATTTGTCCATAGAAATTTTCAAATTTCAATTACATTCTTTTTTTCAAACTTTATGAAAATATTTTATTCTGCTACAGTATCAACAATTTGATGGAAAAATGTTATTGTTTAGATTTAGAATTAATAAGATTAATTAAATCCTGTCTAATATAGAGATAGCTTTAACATGTCTCATAGCACGTATTTATGAGTATCATTATAAACCTATCTAGTTTTTTGTAACAATAGATAGAAGCAAGTATCTTATCTCATTAGAATTGTCATGTTGTGAGCTACAATAATACTGATTAATTTTTTTTTATTCTCTTTTATTGTTGAGAAAATTGAGTTTTATTCTTATTTGGTGGTAGAATTAGATAAAAGCATGAAAAATGTGCTTGTGTCTAGCAATTTCTATTACCATAATTCAGTTAAAAAGCGAAATAGACAGCATATTTGGAATTAGCGTCATAATCTACATCGAATCATATATGTTTTAGAAAAAAATATTTCCAATAGGCAGTACAGTTCAGTTCCCTCTCTATGCTTCAGTGCAGTTTTTGATGCTGATTCCAAATATACTATCTATTTCGCTTTTAGCTGAGTCACCGCAATGAAAATTGCTAAATAGGAGGGCATTCTTCTTTTATTTATCGGATTTTGTCACCAAACAAGAAAAAAATTTAAAAAAGTACCTCGGCAGCTCATCGTCTCGGAAGCTTAATGAGATAAGAAACTTGCTTCTATTTTTTGTTACAAAAAAATAAATAGGTTTATAATAATACTTACAAATACGTGCTATAAGACATGCTAAAGCTATCTCTATATTAGACAGGATTTAATTAATCTTATTAATTCTACATCTACACAAATAACATCTTTCTACTCAATTTTTGATGCTGTAACAGAATAAAATGTTTTCATAAAGTTTGAAAAAAAGGGAATTCATAATTGCAAATTGAATATAGTCATTCAAGTTTTGTTTTACAGTTTTCTTTAGCCAAATACAGACCGAATCGAAGTAAAAAAAATATATTCGTAACAAGCTCTTCAATTTCTATCAAATCAAATCATATACAAAAGAAGGAGAAAAAAATTTGCTCGATTTTCGTACTCTCTCCAAAAAGCACAATCATTCTCTTGTGAAAAGAACATCAGAGTTCTATTGAATTTCGTTTCTTACAACAGCCAGTACTACTCGTTTCTTTTTGCTATAAATTGAAAACAAACAAATGCAAAATTAATATCAATCTGAATCTTTTTTTCATGTTTCAATCCATTCAAACAAAATATTGGCTCGAAATAATCTTCGAAATTTAAACGTGATTGAATTTTTTTAGTTCGAATTTGATAAGCAAGATGAACTTTCCTTCAATCATCAATCGAATATTCATAATCGTCTGCTAACAATACAATGGTGGCTGTCTATATGCAAATCTGGGATCAACAATCAGTACCAAATATTGATTGATTTTGCACTTTACGTGCCTATATTCATTATTCATTTATTGTGCAAGCAATCGAAAAATATTTTAAGATTAGACGAATCAAATTTCTTGTTACTGAAATTCAAAAAGTATGCATTGTTCTGATTCAATGGATATTTGATTCTAGTTATTCTTTGCCTGTTTTTTTTTAACAGGTAACACGGTGAAATTCACTATAGACAATCTATGTTTTGTTTCATTCTTAAGATTTGATCTTTCATTTTATATGTGTGTATTGATATTCGTTCTACCAGATATTATTCTTGTCGTTTTATATAGTATTTTAGTCATTGATGTACGTTGAATCTTATCAAGAACCAATGGGAAATCACCAATTACGTATACGTCGAGATTTGACAATCATACGTCGCATTGTACTTCTCAATTTTTAATTAGTTCTCGCTGGTATTTCGGCAATTGTTTTCATGATACTGAACATAATTCGTTCTGATCTTGTATCTCGTTATCATATGTGGATCTTAATCATGATTGCGAATATAATGTTGGCTTTTCTTATTATGATTTTCTATCGGAATACATCAAATCTTCGACGAAGTGTTGTCGAATGTTTCAATTTAACATCTGATTTTCTAATTAGTAATGTCAATCGAGTCAGATCAATGGTAGAAACTTATCGCTTTTGAACTTTTGTTATCTTATGATTTTACCCAAAAATAAATCAAATCGAGTATTTCAATCGAACTTTTTACTACGTTTACTCCATGCATCAATGACACGTACATTGAATGTATCAATAAAGGCGAATTATGTCTCGGGTCATTAGCTAGATGATGATGAAGATAGAGCAAAGCTCTATTCAAGAAACCTGTCCATATGACACTGATAAGCATGAATGCATGTTTGATATGATTATTGACATACCAGCATAGGAAATAACAATGTAATTACAAAGTTCTTTGCATAACCTTACAGTTATTCATCATCATTTGAATTTTATTTTGTCATGAAGAAACAAGACGACAGTCTTTAATTACATCAAAATTATTAAGAATAGCAATTCACATGTATGGAACAGAAGTCTTTCATATTACATATGAAACAGTCAGGGAAAACAATAAATTCCTGTGTTCATCCGACTAATATCGAACAAGAAATGCATCATGCTAATGTGTGCTAAACAAAAACACATTTTTTTCTATCACTATTTCGTTCAACCGCACTGTTCCATGTTTATGAGTCGTTGCCAATATGTGCATTGAAGTCTTTAGTTAATAATATAGAATCTGTCATTGAGATACTTTTCATAGCTGTAAGAACTAAATCAAGAGATGCCGTGAGATCTGCTGCGATATTAGGCGCATAAACTTCAGTAACTGTTAGAGTCGTCTGCTTTAGTTGAAGCCCCGCTTGAACATGAGTTGTTGGATCAACGCCATAATAAAATAATTGCTATCCATGGGACAGGTTCAATGATCCTTTGCCTTTCCCTTTTGTTGACCAAATTTCAAGTACATCTAGTTGATATTTTTTCGCTTCTTCAATTAATTTCGTTTCTTTGCTAGTAAGTGACGTGACATTCCATATACCTATATTCATTGCCTTCAAGGACAGTTGGTAAAATCATCACTAGATACTTGGTCCCCATAAGTTTTTCGGATTGATCTTGATCGATCTACGGGCACCAATGTTCGATCGACCGCCAGACGCTCGTATATAAGCTCTATTTCCAGGTTTTGGCTTCTATCGTTAATTCATTCTAAGCTGCTCAGAGTCCTTTTGTATGTAGATTCATACACAGTTGTGAATATTTTCTCTATCGATTTTATTAAAATATACACATTTAAGATAAAAGAAAAGGTTAAGATAAAGCGTGGTTCAGTACTAAATAAAAACGAATAAATTGAAGTTTACAAAAAAGTTAAACATTGATAAAATTAAGTACAGTAAAAAGAATCATGGATACAACAAAAACCACTAGACAAAGACGATCGATGACTCTTGCCATAAATTTCCATTCTTGAGATTCATCATCTTCTTTTCCTTGTTGCTGAGAATGATTAGTAAGAATAGCAAGATGAGAAATAATAATACGTAGCTCAGAAAGAATCATTTTCGTATCACATTTATACAATTCTTTCCATGTATTCTGATGATGACCAGAATCATGAATGTTTGTTGCTGAAGGTACAGTAAATTCTAACAGCGAATCTGAGTATTGTTTTTCTCGATTTTCTAAGAATTCTAAAGGTTCCTTGTCGACATTTATAACGTTGGTTGATAACAACTCTAATGTATTATTCAACAATGGTTCAGAAGGACTCTTAGAATGATGATTATCGATCGATATATTTTTATTATTGGATTCTTGTTTTGGAGAAGCCCATCGACGACGAATTCCGCGCCAACTCAAATCATGATTAGGACGCTTCATAAGTAATAGCCACGCCAAATAGTTGGAAATATACTTACGAATCTAAAATGATTCCTGAAATCATATGATTGACTCATTTTGAAAAATAATTTACCCATAATGGCATTGTATGACTTTTAGAGTTTCGAAAATGAAATGATAATATTACCACTGATGCAACAACTGAAACCGCTGACATGGTCATAACACACATAAAATAAAGCGTGATAATTGGTATAGCAGTTGAAGTTGGTGGCAGGATTTCTGATAGAAGTAAACTGAACATAACAACACTTAGAAGAGTTGTAATCTCTGAAGATTTAGAGTGTATAAGAACAAATTTTTTATCGTTAAATTCTAACTTACGCAAGTTTAGTTTATCACCACTATCCGGTGGTAATAAAAATCCAAGTAGTGTCATACAACTGATTAGAAAACAAGGTACTATGAAATGAACAAAAAATAATAATATTAATACAAAGATAAGAAAAAAAAATGTTGTAATTTATATTTTATTACCAATAATATTTGTAAAGTAATAAAGAGAACGTCGACGTATTCGGATAGTGTATAGTACGTATGGGTACACATTTGGACAACAGTCGTATTTGGTACGATTGTTTGTAGCAGAGAAATCTAAAACAGAATGTATAGAATAAAATGCACATAACTCATATCAACTACCTTCCAGATCCCATTCGGCACTTGTGACGTATGCATCTAATTGACCTCGGTTACTTTCTGCCGTCAGATTGACTCCTAATAAAAAAGCATATAACATACAGAAACATTTGCTATTTCATTCTGGAAGAAAATTGATTCAACCACATACCAGCATCATCATATGTCCAAGATCCAAATTTCAGCGTACAATATTGTGTATCCAAAAAAAAAAGAAAACATTCAAGATAAAAGTACGATATGATCGGCATATTTTTTTGTACTTACAAATGGAAATGCAGCAATATTAAATGAACAAATTGATTTGAATAATACTGGTGGAACATATAGTATATCACCATTATGTTGTACAACGGCATTGATTTTCATTGTAGTATCAAATTTGTCATTGACACTTAAAAAAAAACCATTTCTTTTAAAGATATCTGTTCTTCGAAAAATAATAACCTATTGTATAGAAAAATGTCTGGTACCCAAATTTGTGTGCTTGGTATTCGTAGTGATTGAATATTACCAAATTCTTCTGGTTTCCATCTTAAACTGTAATCAGTCCACATCTACACAAACATATATATAAACAATAAGATCAGATATTATAGCTACGCATCCAACGGTGACGATAACCGGTCCTTACCGATAATAGACTTACAACGGTTTATGCTTGCCCATGACGGCTTAGGGTATAGTCGGTTTTTCAAAGTTTTGAGTTTGGTGTTTTTTTATAAGGCAAAGACTTTTTTCACGAAAGAAATTCTTTTTTTTTCATAAAATTTGACCAAAGGCAATTGGGGAGGAGATCCGAATGTGTTATTGGTTTCTCGACGTTCGGTAAAAAAATTTTTCGCAAAAAAAAAAATCAAACTCAGAACTTCGAAAAATCGATTGTAGATTCGAATTACTCGATCCTTTCGTGATGGAAAGAATCAAATTCAAAATTTCCAAAAAACCGAATACACCCTAAGCCAGTATAGACCGATCTATATCGTTATAAACTGGTGTTAGCCTAACACCGATAAAAAGCGATTACCGATGGATCTATTATCAGTTTGAACCAGTGATGGTGAAACGGCGATTCATCATCACAGTTGCATCGCTAATTATAACTAAATTTACATACGATAGTCATCCAGCCACTAGTAACAATAGCTTCGTTCTTTCCATCCTATTTATATTTCAAAATCGAGAAAACATGAAAAATATGTATTTAATCTCACTTACAAATTCAATGATGTTTTGTAAAGCCAAATTTATAGTGACAGGTAATGTGTCAGAATCATTTTGAACAGGTCGTGCAATTGGTCTGTGCCGACTATCACCCAATAGATGGTCTAACAAACGAAGTTGATCAGGACCTCCAACTAATATTCATTATGTTTTCGTTTCCGAAGAAATTCAATTAACTCACTTATGAAATTGAAACAGTAACATGTGATTAGGAGAAATATTTTTATTTGTCGTTGAATTGTATGAAACATTTTCTTTGAAACTAAGACGAGAATATGTAGAATTTTTGCATTTATCAAAATTTTTCACAAATGCAAGAGTACAAAAATGTTGACAAAAGAGCGCAGTCATAAAGTCCATAAGGTCAACAATTTTTCAATTCGTAGCAATATTCCTAACAGTCTTAATGAAATTTTCATATTCGAATTTCAAAGTCGCTACGAAGATATAAAATTTTTTTTTTCTTGATTCTTTGTATTCATTTATTAGCATCTATTGAGAAAACTGAAGAAACGATTCAAAAGAAAAACAAAAAGCATCTTTATGTCTAGCTAGACTTACAACTCGATTTTTACACTACTATCGATTAAATGTTTATAGAATGCATGAAAAATGAAGTAACATTTTATTCTATAAAAAAGAAAATATATTATACAGATTTTACGATAAGACATTTGATAAAATGTTTCATTTATTCGTAGCATTATAGTGACTTATGGTGTATATCTAACAGAGTGTATCATTTAATAGAGAAATATTTCTTTTTAAACCAATTAAAACGTCTTTAATAGTGAAAATCAAAACTGAATGACAAAGCGATAAATTTTAAAGTATTCTCAATAACTTAAACATATTCAATCTGAATACAATATCTTACTGGAATATCTACACGACTAAAATATTTCTACATTACTATAAATCAAATTTTTATAGTATCAACTTCCTATGTATTATTAATCGTTTCGACACTCATCCAACACAATAATGACAATAGTTAATACCTATTATAGCTAATGACAAATTGTGATGTGAGAACAGACCTACTAATTACGAAACGACATTAACGTTAATATTATATGCAAAAACAAATAAATGACAGTTGTCAAATATTATTCACACGTAAATATTGTTGTATAGGCAATCCTATTCCGTAGTTTAAATGAAAAATGAAAAAGAAAGATAAACATTTAGTAGTCAAGAAACGAAAGAAAGATAAGCATTTAGTAATTAAGAGGCGCCTTACACATCATCCTGTCATGGTTGAGTGACGGAAAATATGAATAAAAAAATGCGCATGTGATAATAAAGATAGAATGATTGCCCGTCCCAAGGTTTCTTGGCTCATTGAATTTCATGTTTGACGTGTAGACTTAAAGTATTTGAACAGGAATCAAACATAATACATCATTTTATTTCGAAATTTGATTTATTAGATAACAATTGCTAACGAGTTTTTTTAATTACTAATATATGAGAAGTCGAAGTCAACGAAGAGATTTATTTGATTAAATTGTTAGTTTTTTTTTAATTTTGGAAATTCAGTAAATTCAATCTAATCGAATAATTTCGTTATAAAAAATATTAATAATTTTGAAATATTAATAAGACTATAATCGATCAAAAGTTTATTAAAAATTTCTTTGCTTTTCTATTATTGGAGTGATATAAATCGATTATGAATATTTCTCACTAATAATTCAATCATTACACTTCATTAGTTTCGAATTGAGGCTGAAATTTTTATTCCTTTGCTCTTTTGTATTTTTTTTAATGCAATAAAAGATATTTATTATGTCTTACGGCTATGGTCATATAGAGGTAAAGACTCGGTAGAATTTAATGTATTTTAAAAGGTAGTGCTTACTATCAATATAGGAATGATGAATCATTTAATAAATACGTGATACTTGTCTTATCTTGATTTTTTTAAAATATCAACTAGAAAAGAAATATACTTATTCATAGATGCTGAGACATTTTATTAACGATGATCCTTTATTAAAGAAATTTATACATCATACTTATAGTGCTAAGAATTACTGACGACAGAACGTTCTCAAGTGATCCTATCTGTTTGTCCCCATATTTTGTCAATATGTAGAAGATCATTAAGATAGTGTAACCTCCAAAGATGTTTTGCTCGTGTTTAGGTTTGGTCGAGATAACCACTTTTTAAGAGATTTCATCTACAGGAGTGCAGTTTCGAAAAAAATTATATTTAGGAATTTTTACCTGAAACATTGTGCACATACAAGTTACTATTACACTATTTTATGTAAAACGTTTTATCAATTTTGAATATCACATTGCCAAGATCTTACAGAGAATTAAAAGAAAAGCGTAGATATGTTGAGAAATTCATATCTTAGCAATGGAATATCCAAAACTAATGAAACATGGTACATGAAATAATTTAATAAAGATCTTTATGTGTAAAAAGTTTTAGATGGAAATTTCCAAATATTTTTTCCGAAAATGGAGTTCCTGTACGGAGAATCTACTAAAAAGTCGCTATTTCGACTCAATCTAAGCATGAGCAGAAAATCTTTGAAGGTTACACTACTCTAATGATGTTCTACATATTAACAAAATATGGGAGCAAACCGAGTGAATCAGTGGGGAATGTTCCCTCATGAGAAGTCGACACAACAAAAAGGATAATGATGATGTTGATATTAATATAAAAACAGACGATAACAGTGAATAACTTTCATTAAACGCAAATATTGGAAGTAGCAGTTCTGGAGTTAATCATCGGAATGTTTGATAGAAATTAAAGATGTTACCTTTCTGTAGTCTGATTCGGATTGTATCAGTATAACCATAGATTTCAGATGAGGATGTGGGTGTGGATGTCGCTCGCGTCCTCTCCTTACCCACAAAAATCGACGTTGACACTAACACCCACACTCCAAAAGAGAAAGATGTAGAAGCAGTAAAAGCTAAACCTACTTTGCTTATAGAATAATTCAGTGTCTTTTTTTTACATTCATTCTTCGAATTCCTATTAAATGTTCTCTTATACATCTACTTATTTATTCGCTGTTTGTTTATTCATTTCGATTTAACATGCTTATTCTAAATTATACTCTATACTTATAAAACTTAACTTTCTGCTGATAAAATCTGTGTATTTTACAGCAGTGGAAAATAATCTGATCACTAGAAAAAATGATTATTTTCAGCGAAAAGATGCCGTTCAGGTCAAAAATGGGATCTTCTATATCAAGAAAAATATAACAGCAGTACCGGACTAGTACACCTAATCATGATGCATATCGATCTAAAGATGAATGAATCAATAAACACATAAACACATACATTCCATTTGGAAAAGTGAAAACTCAGCGGAATAATGCATGAATACAGCGGAAAAATACACGAGAGCATCAGAAAATGGTTCCTATCAGTGAGAATAATGCTATATAATAGCAGAAAAATCTTTTCCAGCTATTTATATTTACATATAAACATACATTCCATTAGGAAAAATGAAAACTCAACTGAATAATGCATGAATGCAGCGGAAAAATAAACAAGGACAGCGAAAAAATATTCTTATCAGTCAGAATAATGCTATATGACACTAGAAAATTATTTTCAAGTTATACGTATCTAAGCAATGATTAGCCATCATCCTGCTCTTGACTTCTTTTCTGTCGACTTTCCCTCTCCTTCATCCTTGCTACTATTGTTATCTTTTTTTTTCTTTGCTCTTCTCTCTTATGATACTATACATATCTGTACAACACATTGAGAACATTTGAAAAGTTATTTTATATAAAATAAAATTAAGCACATGTAAGCAAAAGAATAATGTATTTACATATATACATACATTTCCTTCAGAAAAATGAAACTCCATCGGACAAATTGCATGAATATGACGAGAAAATGCTTTAATAGTGTAGAAAAGTGGTTTCCACTAATACGAAAAATGATAGAAAAAGAAGAGAAATATCTCTTTAGACATATGAATTCCTAATGTTCATATATTCATATACAATGAAGAGAGAAACGAATATTTTACAGAAATATGAAATCTGAGAATTGAAATAGTCCTGAAGAAAAAAACGACTATGGTTTATTATCACTGTACTGTAATACTATTATACATATGCTTCTTTCCGCACTGAAATGCAAAGGAAAACACTAATTTTTCCGAAGAAGTCAGAAGCAAACTCATTTACTTTCTTGCTCTATTACTGTGCTGCACAGTGAACGGTGAAGAAAATATCGAAACTTGATTGGTTTATCGAATTCATACTTTTCTTAATTGTTCAACTGCTACAAGATATTCGAGAGAAAGAAACACGGCATTGGCTTCTAAGTGCGAACCAATGTACATTTTTCTTATAGAAAAATGATTCAAACATTATTCTCAGTCATTTATCCTATGGAAACTTATATTTCTCCTATAGATTTTCATTTTTCTGATGAATATGTATGTATATAAGTAACCTTTAACTGAAATATTTATCTCATAGAAAAATGGTGGAAACATTATTCCTACTCATTTTTCTATGAAAAGTGTCTTTTCTCGTATGATTTTCATTTTTCACATGTATGTTGTTTCGTTCGTTTAAGTTAGTGTTTTAAGAGAGGGCATTTTTGGTCTGAACGATTAAATTCCGCTTAAAATTTTCATTTATCTCACCGATCGAAAAGTTGTCCAACACTCATATTTTATTGATCAAATTTCTAGTTTTTGCAATCTATACTGATCATTTTTATTTTTATTTTACTGACTATTTCATCTAATTTTACCGATCAAATATTATATTCCCAATAAGAATGTGAATTGAATGTGTTCTACTGTTTACATAAAAATAGAATAGAACACTTTAATATTACTGCATCAGATATTTGAAAACAAGTTGAAATAGTTGTTCGTAATATTTGTCTTTAATCGAATGGAAAATGTACAAGAGTTTGACTCGAATCGATATTAGCACTCTTCGATCTTGGTTTCAACAAAGGTTTCCTAGATGATGACACAAGAAATCAATGAAATCTACGATTTCCATAGGAGATCTCCTTTTATTCGAAGAAAAATAAAATGTTGAAAAATACAATACGATAATTATGAATAAATATTTGACATCAATCGATACAGATAAGTCAATCTCTGAACTTCTTCGACTAAAACGACTATAAAACATTTGATAAAAATATCATGTCAAAATTGATCTTGTGCTTTGTTTTTTTTTTCTTATCAAAACTTTGTCATTCGTTGAATAAGTTTTTTTAAAATATATTAATTAGAATCGATTGTTAATATGTGTTGTTTGTTTTTTTTCCTGCTTTTACATTTCTGTATCAAGTTATCGAAAGTTAATGAAGTTCAGTCAATAACCAAAAAACGAACATTGAATGACAAGAATTCTTTTGCTTTGAGAAATCTATATTTAAATAGATCCACATTCAAAAGAATAATTTGATCTAAACAAAATGTTTTCACATGATTGGTCTCTTTTATTGATAGTTTGTGCTGTTAATTTCGATCATCTCAGATAAATAATCGAAAACGTGTGTATATTCTTTTCATCTATACCCACACGTACACCCTCATTGAATGTCTCTTTATCTGTTTATTTATTTTGGATTGCATGTTACAAGTTGAAAAAAAAATCAACTATTGACACTCAACGAATGGTATTAATTTCCATGAGCTTATCGCCCTTGTTTCATGCAAATAAAAGCAGCTATTCAAGTTCTTTCTAGATAAAAAAGTTACTTTACTGCGAAAAAAAGCAAGAGAATATGTGTGCTTCAATTCAATTCCCCTTGCTTCTTGGAATGGCTTATACGATTCTAACAATGTATTTTATTCTTTTCAAAGGAATGACCTTCTTCTCTCAATGTTGTGGTTTTTTTTTCGAAAGTTTTCGCTAATCTTGCGAATCACTGATCGAATGTTCTGGTCGAAGGAAATCTATCAATCGTTGTCCAATCGTCTTAGCAGTGTTTTTAAACTTGAAATTGTCAAAAATTCAAAAGACGTTTCCAACTGACATTTCATGAGTACGAGAAATATCAGTATTGATCGCTTCGAATACGAGTCAGCTGATTGGTTACCTATGAAAGATAGAAGGACTCACCAAGTGAAAAAATTCAATAGAGATAATGGTAAAGTTGAACGATTAAACACATTATCGAACATGTTTATCCTTGTCATTAATACCTCTGGGTAGTTACTAAGAAACATCATAATTTTAAATAAACAAATAAGCAAGTTTTGCACACTAATCATCCACAGATGATTCATCAGTACGATGATGATTACCCTGAAAGTCTTCCAAAATATATCAGGCTTTTGAATCATTGATGTATTTCTCCTATCTTGTAACTCTTTAATATTGTATGCCGTTGTTTATACGTGACATGCCAGTTATTACACAATTTCAATTCCGTACAAAATCAAGTAGAGGTTCTCGATTGCACATCATCGGAGGTTCAAAGTTGGTGGGCTATTGATGACTTTCATTATATGACCTCTTTTTTTGTATTTTTCTTTTTAAGACTTGAATCCATTAACAAACAAAAATGAGATTTCCTTTATACAAAGAATCTAACATAAAAGCAATCGAATGACTTCTCGATATCAAAGCGGCATGGTTTGTGTAACAACTTCAAGTGTGGTGAGAGAGTCTTTATTCTAAATTCCCATCTCAACACAGCATCCCTACACTGACAAACGGTATGCATTTTATAGGCAGTGGTGAATAGAAAGAACACTACAGAAAGAGAACGACACAAAGAGAAGGACACAAGTGAATGACAAAAAGAGAAGGATAACAAGAGAATGACAACCAAAGAAGGATAAGAAGTGAACGGCAGAAAGAAAAGAACAATGCTGTAAGGTCGAGGATGTATGAAAATGCAAGAGATGACAGGAGAAGGATCACACGAGAACAGTTGACAAGGGAAGGATCACAGTGAGAAAGAAGGAGCGCGTCCATGGTAAGAAAGGTTGACAAGAGAAGGATCACTCATATAGTGAGAAAGATTGACAAGAGAAGGATCGCACATATGGTGGGAAGAAAAGTGATCAGTTCAGAAAGAGTGAAGGTAAGGAGTGTCGCATCATCGACATCGCTGGAGATGTTACAGTTTGTCTTTCGATATCTGATTGTTGTTGTCGCTTTTATCTGCGCTCAAAGAAAGAAATATAAATTTTATGAGATGAAAAATTCAAATCAGATAATGTTTTAATGTGATGGCATGCCCGTGTGATAATAAAAGTATCCGAAGTCGAATAAAGTTTCATTGTAATGGTTATGGTAAAAATGTGTCGCTATGACATTTTCGTACAGTTGTTTTTCTTGTCTGTCGTTCTTTACTATCGTTCGTATGTTTTTTTGTACAGAATAGGTAATTTTTTTTCAGCTTTATTACCTTCTGAGAAACACGCATTTTTTTTGCTATGGCTGAGTGTCGAAAACAACTCATTGGTTCGAAGAATAGAATTCGAACTTGGAAATTTTCAGTAGGATAGAATTTCAAAAGTTGGTTCAATTAAAAAGTCAAACTTTCAACTCGTAAATTGATTGTTCCATGCAAACTACTCAGTTTAGGCTTTCAAAAAGTCTGTCGCAATGGTAGTGCGACCTTCACGAGTCACAATTGGTATTGAGTTCATTTTACACATTGATGATAAAGATTTTTTATTTCAAGTTTAATATTGTTAATTTTGAAGTTTAAAAGGCGTCATAACTTACTTGAAGAATTGTTTTATTGAATCAAAATTTATAATGCTAAACATACACTTCAACCATATTGTGACTTTTACTTCTACCATATTGTTTCGAGGATGACGTTTACCAAGTCTTCATAAAGTGAAAAAATCGAGGAGTATACATGTTTTATTATATACCTATGATCATAATTATTTCTCTTTAATGAATATAACGTATATTTTTGCTGCAGCATGACGAACATGTTATATTGCCTAGTGTGAAATTGATAGAATGATTACATTGACCTAGGCGACAGTGGAAGTTTGATATTAATAATTTCTGTCTGTATTTATTTTGACGAAGAACGATAACTTTCACCGAAAAAAGAGCAAAAACAAAAAGAAACCTGCGTGTGGTTTGGAATGAGTTTCAACACAAAGTAATGTGTGAATCATCCGCTTATATGTGAAGAATATTGCTTTGTCACAGGTTGCTTTTTTCTCTCTTTCGATAAACATATGAAAGCAAAGTCAGTCTGAGTGAGAGAAAAAAAAACTCCACATCTGGTGTTACCAAAGGCCGCAAACAATCGACTATAGACATCGTGATGAATCGCGCCCCTATTGAACGTGATAATCGTCGACGTCGCAAAAATCGTCATTCATCTCAAGTTACTCAGTCGACCGATGATAGTATTGCTTTAAATGATAATCAATTATTCCCGACACTGACTGTAGCATTATCGAATATTGTCCAAGTATATATTTCAAATACTGATTTGTTTTTACTCATTGTTTTCCCTTTGTTTTTAAGCAGCTACCACCAAAACCAGAGTCATGCAGCGAAATACAAATCATTAATTCAACCGGTGAGATAGTATTGTGAGACGTATCATGAAAATTTTCGATATGAAATTTGATTTTCTGGGTAGATAACAATTTATCTGAAGCATCCATTGGCACACAGTCTGCTTCAGAAAGAACCTTGCCTGTACAATCGAAGCCTGTTATCTTTCAAAAATTTATACCTGCCCCGACTAAAATCTATGAAGCATCTACTCATCGTTCTTCACCAGTGAACATTCGATCGGCTCATCCAACAGGTACATAAATCTATTATCGATGCCAAAATATAAGGCAGTTAAGCAGTTTTTCAATAATTTTTGATCAAAACGAGATAGAGACCTGCAGTTTTCACCATTGGAAAGAGAAGATTATTTTTTTTATCAATTAATTGATCAACTATTGACCAATCAGGTGAGCTGTTGGTGAAGATTTGAAAAGCGACAATCTGAAGCTATTTCTCGCTGAACGTTGACTTATAAAATGACTACTCCATAAAGAAAATTGTTCTCTTTCGATCTACACAAAATTGAACTCTATAACTTGTTTCATTCAGAATTATTGACATTTTCCCAAGATTCTTCAAATTGGCCATCATTTTTGATGTTGCTATTGTAGCAATTCCGAAATTCCATAATTTTCTTTCTTTGACTCTTCAAAGGCAATATCGAAAGTGCTAGCATAGCAGCTTGAAAACTTAAAAGAAATATTACCGCTCTCTTCAGTGTGGTGACTTGGTTAGAAATCGTTTGGTCGATCCCCAAGGTCTTCGACAAACGCCAATAATTTATGAAAGAAATGAGCTATGGAGCTTGGCGTTGCCGTAGATCGAAAGAAAACAATTTTTTATCGGACATTCATATTATGAATCAAAATTCAATTGGCAACGGTTTCATAATGTCATTTTTCTGCAACCTTCACAAACAACGCATCTGATTGGTCAATAGCTCACCAATCAAAGGCGACTACAAGTTTCAGGATCGTATTTGACCCCGGAAGGGGATGTATGTAGGTTTGTAGGGAAAGACTTTCTCTATCTAATGGTGTATGTATTATCGTTCTACTGCGTACCAAAATTGTCGATAGATGGCGCCACATTCGCTGTATATTCTAGCGAATGTGGCGCCATCTATCGAAAATTTTGGTACGCAGCAGAACTTGATAACACATACACCATTAGATAGAGAAAGTCTTTCCCTACAAACCTACATACATCCCCTTCCGGGGTCAAATTCTTGTAGTCGCCTTTTGACCTATTTTAACAAAAAAAAATATTTCTCTCTTTCGAATGATGAAAACTGCAGGTCTCTATCTTATGATTATCAAAAGTTATTGAAAAAAAATGAGCCGCTTACATTCGTCACCTTTGATATGTTGAAGGTTTCAAGTAAAATGATTACTTAGTAGTTAACCAATTTTTCTTTTTTTATTCGCTTTTAAATCGTTTGTCAAACGATATCTTACATCTTGTAGACACTGTCAATGATCATTCGGTATCAAAACCAAAAACGGCTAAAGAAGAACTCGTCATTGATCAAGTGTGCAAAATCATTTTGACAATTCATGCACGTCAAGAATTTGTATCAGTTCAACGTGTTGAACAAGAATTATTTGAATACTTTGGTGTTCATTCATTTCGTGAACTAGGTGTTGATCAACGTAATCTTACACCATTAACCAATCTGATTCAACGTCATAAATCTATAATACTTTATATGCAAATCTTTGAAAGAGTTTTCAATCTATGTACTCTACACGATCTTGATCCAATGTTAGCTAAATTTCTTAAACTTCAAAAATATGATGATGCTCATTTGGGTCCACTTGATAAACATCCTGATGTCAAACGTATATTTCAATACAAACGACCGACATCAGGCAATGCAATTACTGAGATTACAACGGGTAATGTTATAAATGCATTTCTTGACTTTCAGGCAAAATATCATGGTCCAATGCGTATGCCATTTGATGAATTTCTCGAAGAATTAGTCAAAGAATATAAATTAGAAAATCGTGAGCAACTTGGTATTTTCTGTCGATCGTTTCCTTATTTAACTCAGGTATTGATATTTGACTAACATAAGAAGACATTATATAAAACATTTTCATTCACATTATCTATGCATAGGTGACAAGAAAATTAACACAAGAACATCGAATTCATACTCGTCAATCTGAATTGAATGCCCGATCAAATATAATACAAATAGCTCAACAACGATTTGTAGAATTAATCAAAGAATTAAAAGATGAATTTCAAATTTCATTAGATAAAAAGAAAAAGTCGTCTACGGCTGTTTTCGATCATCTTATTTCAATTGTCGAAAAATATTTGATTGTATCTGAACAACAAATTGTTCGAGATACATTGAACAAATTTCGTAAAGATGAATTATTACAATGTCTATTCAATGTCAGCATTTGTCTGGGAACAATAAAAAAACCTGATGAATTAATGATAGAATTAAAAAAATTCTATCAATATCCAATACTTAATAGTTCAATACAACCAACTACCATGAAAACATCTCAATTATCACATACTAACCAATTGTCTCATAATAAGCAACATCAATCGATGTCGTTCAATCAAATATCTGTAAGTTCTAATGATTTTCATCTTTCAAATTGCGTTGCATCGTTGCAAAGAATTTTTATCATTAATAATTCAATCATGTTCACTCATTATATACAAATTCGAGATGATTATTGATCACTAAGAAATAAGACATAAGTTGAAATTTATCATTGATCTTGCTGTATAGATGAGACCATGTATTCCTATTTTCTTCAATCGTTACATTCTATTTTCGAATCGATTGATTGAGATGAATATTTGCTGGAAATTGATGAAAGCAATTCAACTTCAGACAATAAACAAATAGTTTTAGACAATCACATTGATAATATTTGTATCATTGCTAGTGACATTGTTTGCTCTTTATGACTAAAATTATTTTAAATAATATCTGAATATTTTAGCCAATGCAAAATACTGTAATGCGTACGACTGTTGATACATCATTTGAAAATACATTATTATCGTCATCATTATCATCAGTAGCCAAACCTCGGATAACTCTTAAACAATTATGTATAGATCTTGGTCAACATCTGAAACGTTACGATAATATTCTGACTATAAAACAATGGAGTGAAGTCGAAAAAACATTTTGTAGTCAGCATGGAATTGAAAATTTCTTTGGGTTTTGTATGATCAATGAAGACAATGGTGGTCATCTTCCACTTAGTCTAATTTCATTTCTTCATATGAATCGTCAAAGAATTGATCCAAATGGACAATTATCTGTGTATGAAAATGTTATACCGACAAGTAATCGACGAGAACTATATACATTTGTCAATCAACTTTTAAGAACTCATGACAATCGAGAAGAACATACAAATTCAAATACATCCACTGAAATTTCTACAAACAGACCAATTTGCTTCAGTGCGGATCAATTATCAGCTATTGAAAAAGGTATTAAACATAAATTTGGCGGTTTGCTCGGTTTTCAAGGATCCACTCAAATTATCAATAAAGCAAAACAACAACAACAAACAAATTTAATGATCTAGTAAGTTCTCAAATTTCTCCATACATTCTATCCCAATTCGATACGTATTAATAGTTTTGAAGAATCACTTTTGGATGTTGTCAGTTTAAATCGACTCGACATCTGTCCATCGACCTTGCCCGTTGATGAAGCACAACTTTGCAAACTTATTCTTCAATGTCCAATTATGATTGATCTTAATACATGGTTACAATGGCTTTATTTCTTTCAACCGAAATATGGTTCTCTAAAAATGTTTATTACTCGAAAACAGACTGAACTCGATGGTCTTCTTCTATTAGAAACATCGACTCATGAATTATTTCGTTTACCAATCGATTCATCTTTGACACATTTTGAACAAGAACTTGCTAAAATGAATGTACGATCAGCAATTGGTTATCTTTGTACATCAATTATTCTTGAACATATTCAAGTAAATCGATTACCATTGAGTATCTATCGACAAGTAATGCATACATGGTTTGTTCTACTTCAATCATCGGCTACATTTGGACATGAACCGATTGAACCAATGCAATATATTCTTGATTTTCTAATCTATTTACCAGTACTTATTGGACAAAAATTAATCGTGCAAGAACTTGTACTTGCACCACTCGATGACGTATTTCGTATGGATGATCAAGATAAAAAATTAATTAATAATCGAGAGAAACTTTGGTCGTTGGCTAATGATAAACAAAAGAATAAATTGGAAATCTGGGGTTATTTGCTTGATATCAAAGAATGGAGGAATACAACAAAATGGACGGGACAAACTCAATCACAGATCGAACCAACAATAAAACAATCGGTCAAAGTTTCAAATACAACAGAAATCACTGTCAAAGGTAAGATACCACTAATGCAAAATTCGAGCGAGTTTCTTTTTTTTTCTCAATTTATTTATATGTAGTTTGACGAGTTGGTCACGAATATATGACTTTTATTTCGATTTAGTCAGTATTTGGCTGTTGTTAGTATTCTTGTGAACCTATCTAGTTTTTTTTTTTTGTAATAAGAGATAAAAGCAAGTGTCTTATCTCATTAGAACTGCTAGATTATGAGACACAAAAATTCTTAAATGGTGACAAAATCATATAGGTTTTAAGAAAATTCTTTTTCTATGAGAAACCGATCTCTTTGGAAGTAGGCGCAAAATTTTAGAAAAATAGGTCTGAATGGGGACCGCAGATGTGTGTTACATCGGAAACAGTTTTTTAAGATTTTCTTTAGCCGAATACTGATCGAATTGAAATAAATATATATGGGGGTGTCCAGTCTGGCCGGAGGACCCATTAATATATTTTTTATTGTAAGGATAAAATATACTGTTGTTCGAGCCAATCCTAGGTTATCTGTGGTTCTCTCTCATATGACCCGAACAACACCATGTTTTATCCGTACAATANTCTTATGAAGTCTCATGAAGTCTCGCGAAGTCTCATGAAGTCTCAAAAACCTTTTGAAGTCTTTTAAAATCTTCCGAAATCTTCTAAAGTCTTTAGAAGTCTTTGAAAATTTTGAAGTCTCTATGCTTGAAGTCTCTTGAAGTCTCGTGAAGTCTTTTGAAGTCTTGAAGTCTTGAAGTCAGCTGTTTCCCCCTTGAGTATTTATGGTACAGAGCAGTTGATTATGCAGAAGAGACGAGCTACCGAGGCATCTAATAGAGTTGTGAGAGAAGTTAACATTTGAACGATAGTATTCTTCAGTTCAATGTTACTCCGATGTTGAGTATCGATATTACTCTAGTGAAATATCTTGTAAGTAGGATTTTGGATCTTGTGTACGAGATCATGGCCAAGATACAAGGTACAGAAATGTGAGTAGATCTTGAAAATTTGGGTACAAGATAATCTGATTATCTTGAGCCAAGATCTGTGTAATGAGATCTTGGGTACAAATTCATCTGATTCGGTTATCATAAAAAAAAGTGTATTCTATACACAAGATCCTAAAATCTTGCAGAAGATCTTGATTTAATAATATTTTGAAAAATTATTTTTCTACTTCTCGAAACTAGATTGTGCCGAATCACTCAAGAAAACACAATCTCCATTGAAGAGTGTTCATGAGGCCGACGATTTCGAAAGTTTTTAGAACTGACCATTGACCACTAAGTTGACTCCTTGTATCTGTAGAAGAAATTTGACTTCCAATTCAGCTTCAACATCAAATTTCACATAAGATAAGCTATTTCAGAAGTATTTAGAGACATTCGTAAATGAATTTTACTGATCCTTTTAAATCATGGATATTTGAGCCAAGATCTTATTAATCTGTATCTCAGATCTAGCTACAGATCTTGATATAAGATAATCACATTATCTTGTACCTAAATTTTCAAGATCTACTCACTTTTCTGTACCTTGTATCTTGCCCAAGATATTGCTTGCAAGATGTTGCACTAAGGTAGTTGATGAACAAACAGTGATAGTATTGGTAGGAATCACATGTATTGTTAGAATACTATTCTAGTCAAAAGCAGCTGAGATACTTGCAAGAAAGTAACATACAAACCCTTTCAACATTAACTTTTCCGAATAATTTAATTTTGATGAAATTCACTTTCTTAAAATAGAGTCAAAATATTAAAAAATTATTTTTTTCGCAGTATTCTACGTGTGCGAAATTAGAAACATAATCTTGTTGTATGGTTTTTGTTTCTAAAAATTAAAAAACAATCAAACACGTCCTTAATATAACAAAAATAATAAATAAAATTGAAACAAAAGATTGTTAGAGATCAAAAATATACCAATTGTTATTGACACTATTCTATGACGAATATTCGTCTTTATCGAAATAAAGCTAAAAACGAAATCTATGATATTATACAAGATCTCATTGATTCATTCTAGACTGTTCAGATTCATTTCGTACATAGTGCACTTCCATTTCATTGATCGAATAATTTGCATACAATTGCCAATATTTTCTCCATAGAGTTTATTAAAGCATATATATTTAAGACAAAAGAAAAGATTAAGATAAAAGCTGGGTCACTAGCAAATAAAAAAGAAAGAAATTAAAGTTAATAATAATAGTTAAACGTTGAGAAAAATAAATGTAGTAAAAAGAAGCATGGTTATAGCAAAAACAATCAGACAGAGACGATCGATGACCATTGCCACAAATTGCCAGTCTTGAGATTCATCATCATCTTTCTCTTTTTGTCGAGAATAATTAACAAGAATAGCAAGTTGAGAAGTAATAACACGTAGCTCAGAACGAGTCATTCCCCTATCAAAAGTGCACAATTCGTTCGATGTATTCTGATGATGACGAGAACCATGAATTTCCGTTGCTGGAGGTACAGCGAATTCTAATAGCGAATTTGAGCTTTGTTTTTTTCTATTGTCTAAGAATTCCAAAGGTTCCTTATCGACATTTATAACATTGGTTGATGACAATTCGAATGTATTATTCAACAATGGTTCAGAAGGAATCGTAGAATGATGATTATCGATCAATCCATTTATATTATTCGATTCTTGTTTTGGAGAAGCCCATCGACGACGAATTCCGCGCCAACTCAAATCGTGTCTAGGACGCTTCATGAGTAATAGCCAAGCCAAATAGTTACAAATATACTTACGAATCTGAAATTATTTCTAAAATCATGTGATTTACTCATTTTGAAATATGATTTACCCATAATGGCATTGTATAATTACTCGAGTTTCGAAAATGAAGTGATAATACTAACACTGATGCAACAACTGAAACTGCTGACATGATCATAACACATATGAAATAAACGGTAATAATCGGTATAGCAGTTGAACTTGGTGGCATAATTTCTGATAGAAGTAAACTGAACATAACAATACTTAGAAGAGTTGTAATCTCTGAAGACTTAGAATATATAACAACAAATCTTTTATCATCAAATTCTAACTCACGCAAGGTTAATTTTTCGCCACTATCCGGTGATAATAAAAATCCAAGCAATGTCATACAACTGATAAGAAAACAAGGTACTGTGAAACGAAAAAAACAATAATATTAATGCAAAGATTAGCAAAATATTGTAATTAATATTTTTTTACCGACGATATTTGTAAAGTAATAAAGAGAACGTCGACGCATTCGGATAGTGTATAGTACGTATGGGTACACAGTTGGACAACAATCGTATTTGGTGGCATTATTCGTTGCAGAAAAATCTAAAACAGAATGAATAGAATAAAACCCTCATAACTCATATCAACTACCTTCTAGATCCCATTCGGCACTTTTGACGTACGCGTCTAATTGACCTTTGCTACTTTCTGCCGTCAGATTGACTCCTAATAAAAAAGCATATAACATGCAGAAACATTTGGTATTTCATCCTAGAAAAAAAACATCCTTCAACCGCATACCAGCATCATCATATGTCCAAGATCCAAATTTCAACGTACAATGTTGTGTATCCAACAAAAGAGAAGATTCAAGACAAGAGTACAATATGACTGACATATGTTTTTTTACTTACAAATGGAAATGAGGCAATATTAAATGGACAAATTGATTTGAATAATATTGGCGGAACATATAGTATATTACCATCATATTGCACAACGGCATTTACTTTCGTTGTAGTATCAAACTTGTCATCGACACTTAAAAACAAACAAATATCGTTTTTCAAGATATCTGTTCTTTGAAAAATAATAACCTGTTATATAGAAAAATATCTGGTGTCCAAATTTGAGGACTTGGTATTCGTAGTGTTTGAATATTACCAAACTCTTCTGGTTTCCATCTTAAACTGTAATCATTCCACATCTACACAGATATATATGAAAAATAAGATCAGTTATTATAGATAGACACGCAACGGTAAGGATAACTGCCCTCTACCAGTAGCCGTTTCACCGGTACCCAGTTCCTCAGTAGATGGTCCTTACCAGTATAAGGCTGACATTGGTTTATATTGGCTTATATCAGTTTGTACCAGGTTATAGCTGCTTACGCGGATTTATACCGTTCATGGCGGCTTAGAGTGTAGTCGGCTTTTCGAAATTTTGAATCTGACTTTTACATCAGGAAAAGGATTTTTTGAAAGTAACAGTTTCTTATGCATTTTTGCCGAAGGTAATCGAGATAGAGAAATTCGAATCTACCATTGGTTTCTCGAAGCTCGGTGTTTAAATTTTTGCGAAGATTTTGTTTTTCAAAAAAAAAACATTCTGTTTAGTAAAAAACAATAACTTTTTGCTAACCAAATTTTAAAAAACTCATTTTTCTACAAAAAAAGCCTCTTTACTAAGAAAAATGATCTTTTTATAGCAATACAATTTTTCGTAAAAGAAATTTTTTGCAAGAAAACATCGAACTCAGAACTTCTGAAAACTGATTACAGATTCGGATTCCTCGATTGGATCACCTTTAGTTAAACTTTATGAAGAAAATCGCTACTTTTGAAAAAAACAACCTTCCCTCATGGAAAAAATCGAAGTCAGAATTGCGAAAAACTGGGTACGTCATAAGCCGATATAAATGGATATGAGCGGGTATAGATCTGTTTATGCCACTATAAGCTGGTATTAACCTAATACCAGTAAAAGCCGGTTACCGGTGGAACAGTTACCAGTTTGAACCAGTGATGGTGAAGTGGTGATTCACCGTCACGGTTGTATCCCTAATAATAACTAAGTACACCTACGATAGTCATCCAGCCACTAATGATAATAGCTTCGTTCTTTCCATCCTATTTATATATCACAATTGTAAAGCATGAAAAATATGTATTTAATCTCACTTACAAAATCAATGATGTTTTGTAAAGCTAAATTTATAGTGACAGGTAATGTGTCAGAGTCATTTTGAACAGGTCGTGCAGTTGGTTTGTGTCGATTATCAGCCAATAGATGATTTAACAAACGAAATTGATCAGGACCTCCAACTAATATTCATCATGCTTTCGCTTTCGAAGAAATTTATTAACTCACTTATGAAATTGAAACAGTAACATGTGATTAGGAGAGATATTTTTAACTGTCGTTGAATTGTATGAAACATTTTCTTTGAATCTAAGAAGAAAAGATATAGAATTTCTTATTCATCAAACTTTTTTTATAAAGGTAGAAATATGAAACGTCGACAAAAGAACGCAATAGTCCATCAGGTCTACAATTTCGCGATTCGGAACCGTATTCTCAACGCTGTTAATGAAATTTCCATATTCGAATGTCATAGTTGCTTCGAAGATAATTGATACTTTTTTCTTGATTACTTTTGATTCATTTATTAGTATCTATTGAGAAAACTCAAGAAACGATTCAAAAGAAAAACAGAAAGCACCTTTACTTCTAACTGGGCTTACAACTCGGTTTTTATACTAATATCAATTGAATGTATATCAAATGCATGAAAAATGAAGCGACATTTGATTCTATAGAAATATATATATACACACATACTACGATAGGACACATGTGACAAGATGTTTCGATTATTCGTGCCATTATAATGACTTATGATGCAGATCTAAGAAAACGTATCATTGACTTAAATTAATACAGAAATATTTCTTCTTTAAACTAAATAAAACGTTCTGAACAGTGAAAACTAAAACTGAATGGTAAAGCGATAAATTAAAAAGCATTGTCAATGATTGAAACATATTCGACCTGAAAACAATACCTTATGGTAATATCTATATGACTGAAATATTTCTGCATTACCATAAATCAAATTTTTATAGTATCAAGTCCCCATTTGTTATTAATGAATTCGAGAATTATCCAACTCGATACTGACAATTGTTAATATCTATTATGGCTAACGAAAAGTTGTGATGAGAAAAGAAAACTAATAATTATGAAACAACATTAACGTTAAACTCACATGCAAAAACAAAGAAATGACGGTTATCGAATATTATTCTCAAGTAAATATAATTGTATAGGCAATCCTATTCCATAGTTTAAATGAAGAACGAAAAAGAAAGGTAAACATTAAGTAATTAAGAGACGAATCACACAGTACCCTATCATGGTTGAGTGACGGAAAGTATGAACAGAAAAAATCCACATGTGATGATAAAGATAATAAGACCTAGAGAAAATGATAGCCCTTCCCAAGTTTCCTTACAATTCATTGAGTTTCATATTTAACATGCAGAGTTTGAAAAATAATCGGACAGCTACCAAACATAATACATCATTTTATTTCGAAATTCGATCTTTTAGACAGCAATTGTTAACAATGTTTTTCAATTACTAGTATATGGGAAGTGAAATACAACAGTATTCTTTTAGTGCGTGCTCCACCGTTAATTAATAGTATCATTATAGCTGGTGCTCCTTTTCATAGAAAAAAATGCTCTATACGCTAATTAAATTATACATATATGTGTTATATATATCTTCTCTTAATAGTTAGTGTCTCCCTTAATGAGAAAATTTTCTCTTATCAAAAAGTAATTAAAAACGATCTCGATAACAATAACTTAGACGTAGTTAGCAAGAGATCTAGGGAATATGAATTACAGCCGAGGACAGTTGAAATTATATCCCTTAATATTTTTTTTTGTTTTTTCTTACTATACGTTTTTTTATCTATTACCCTACTAAATATAGAGAAAAAGTCTGAAACGCGTTGCATCTTTTTGTCTATTTACATTGAATATCAAATGTAGTTTAATGTATAAAAAGTGTATTAGAAAAAATAGTGACATTTGTTTCTCCTACAATACCAAGTGTCCGTGATGTTGTAACAAATTTTCGTTCTGCATATATGTCTGTTTGAGAAAAAGGTAGAATATTGAATGTTTGTTTAAAAGATTTGTCGTCGAAAGGTCTACAAAACTTGTGTAGACCAAATCCTATAGCGAATCAGAGATGCCCTGGAAATATATTCTATATGATGAGAGGTGACACTCATGTAAGCTGTTCATTTTGAGTATAAGAAAAACCATTAAAACAGATCAAACGAAATTCGATCATATGGCTTTTGTGGAGCTTTTCACAGTATATCTTTTGAAAAAAGTTCAAGATTTTATCATTTACCTTAGCCGAGATATATACGGAATAAACAATGTAACAACATTATGGACAACCGGTATTGGAGTAGAAACAAATGTCACGTTTTTTCTCATATACTTTTTATACTCTAAACTGCATTTGATGTTCCATGTAAGTATAACAAAAGAAGTAGCGTGTTTCAGGGTTTCTTCCTATATATAGTAGGTTAACAGATAAAAAATGTATAGTCATCAAAAAACAAAAAAAAGATCAAAGTGTATAATTTCAATTGTCCTGGACTGTATATAAAAACAAATCTATTAACTGAATCTCATATGTGGGTGATTTCACCGTATACGTGATTCTTTATACATGACTTTCTGCAAATCAATTTTCATGTTTGAAATCGTGTAGAGCATAGTCGATTTACTTACTATGTTAACAAAAGATCCGCTATAAATTCTAATGCTGAAGAGATCAAAGATTGACAAGATTAATGTGTAGAATAGCTAATACTATATAAAAACACTGTAAATACACCTAATACGTCTATCATCATATATCGTCAACGCAAAACTGGAGCACACAGTGGCATAGAAGTTTTGTACAGCAAAATTTGCTCTGCACGCCCATATATATAGCACTTTTCAGGAGGTACCAAACAGGGGTTATTTTAGCATCAAAATATTATCATAATTAATTTATGTATAATTATGCATAGTATTACATGCTGAAAACTTTCGTGCTGAAATAAACTCTGTCTGGTACCCTATGAAAAGTGTTATATTTGGGCACACAGAGCAAATTTTGCTTTACGAAACGTTCTGTGTCACTGTGTGCCAAAATTCTGCGCTAACGACATATGATGATGGACATATTAGGTTTATTTACAGTGTTTTTATATAGTATTAGTTATTATTTGCATTAATCTTGTCAATCGTTGATCTCTTCAACATTATAATTTATAGCGGGTATTTTGTTATCATAGTAAGTAAATCGACTATGCTCTACACGATTTCAAACACTAAAATTGATTTCGAAGAGCTCGATGGAAATGTGTCACATATACGTTAGAATCAGTCAGGTACATACAAGATTAATATTTGATGACTAGTTATGTTATACGACAGTTTCGAATATTATTCATGACGGATTTAGACATATTTTTATGAATAGAGGAATATTAAAATTTAACGAGATGAGATTTCAATAATTTTGAATCGCGCATTGCATGAAGAATTTTGATTTTTGCTTGTACCCATAATGATTCGATTAGTTGCGTATGGCATCCTATATGTGGGTCGACGAAGTGGTCAGAGTGATTGACGGTGTGATGTTCGTAACCATATATAGTTTGTAACCTATAATATGCCTTTGATTGATCAGAACACATGATGGTGTCTAGATAGACATGCTTCCATATAATCGGGAGAAGTGTTGCTGCATCACGTTGTGGCACCAAAAAGAATCTTGCTTCATAAGAATCTTCTTTTGGTTGAACAATACCAAAACTCCATGGCTCTTAATGTTAGGATAAAGAAATGCATGTTAAAGCATCTAAGTTGAATGTTTCTTACCCTCAGCTCGGATCCCATTATTACGGTTTCTGGTTGGTTGACTAGCATCATTATCGGCATCTGATTCATTCCTTAAACTTGAATTAATATTTACATTATTATTATTATATGTATTATTACCATAATTTGCATTATGTTCATTATGATTGTCAAGAAGAAGTCATCCACGATTATATTTGAGCTTTCATCGAAATACAGATCCATAAATTTGCATCACTTCCTCAGCACTTTCCATTTGTAAAGCATCATATAATTTCGCGTTACAAATCTAAATAGGTATTATTTGTAGTTAAAGAGCTTTTAATAATTAAGAGGACTTTTACCTGGTGCAAAAAATTAGTACGGTCAACTACTGATGGTTCTGCTACCTAACTAAAGTAGCAATGGCCATTGAAGAAGTTGATAAATATGATAACCATATCATTTCAAGTATCATTCGTATGACGAGTTTTGAATTAGGACGACGAAGAACATCAGTATAGGAGAAAAATGAATCTTTTCGAATACTTAGCTGACTACGAGATAATCTATTGATACATCGCATTATTGGATATACTTGATGATACCTGTTATGTTCTACCTTTCTTACGAGCAAATATCGATCCGTCTTAAGTAGAACATACCTTTTTTTATTTTGTTTTTCTTATAAACAACTAGGTCATCACATACATATATATCAGAAGAAAGAGAACAAAAGAAAAAACAAACAATTACAGAAATACAGATGTCATATCATAACAGTACCATCTTCTTACTTTTTTTCTCAATGCATTGATCATTCAGGAACCACAGTGACATGTATGTTGATCAACGTTTCTGACTTTATTATGTTCACGAACAAATTTCGCCAAAGAATCATCATCATTTAATATTTTATAAAATGCTCTGTTATTCTTAGGTATAGCTATGAGCAGAATAAAGAGTGACGACGCAAATTCTTATGTTTTATAGCCGCTTATTTCCCCAATAATATTTTTCAATTCACATTGATTCCTAATTGATGCAATTTTTTGTTGATTTGATGCGAATACTTACCAATCTACCGGATTATTTTTTTTCATCGCTTTTAATTACTTTCTGATAAGAGAAATTTTTCTCATTAAGAGGAAGACTCTATTAAGAGAAGATATAGATATCACATACATATATAATTCAATTAAAGTGTGGAAGATTTTTTCTATGAAAAGGAGCGCCAGCTCTAATGATGCTATTGATTAGCTGCTGAGTACGTGCTAAAGGAATATCAAGACAACAAAGAGACGTACTTGATTAAATTATTTGTTTTTTTCAAATTTACTCAGATTTAATTCGATCAATTCAATCCAATCCAATCCAATCGGGAAAGATTGTGTAACTGTGTTCCATTTTTCATGAAACTATTAGCCAATTATTCGACATGAGGTTTTATCTTGATTTTTATTAATTTATTTAAATCTATTATAAATACAAGTGAGTTTGAAGTATTAAAATGGCTATAATCGGTCAAAAGCTTACTAAAAATTTCTTCTCTTTTTTTATTATTCCAGTAATATATTTCGATGATGAATATTTCTCGCTAATAATTCTATAATTACACTCCATTAGTATCGAATTCAAGCTGAAATTTTGATTTTTTTTTCGTTGTCATGTTTTTTGCTTTTTCTGTATTTTTAATGCAATAAAAAATATATTTATTATGTATTATGGCTATGGGTATATAGGGGTGAAGTCTCAGGACAATTTAACGTATTTTAAAACATGGTACTTATTACCAGATAGAAATGAGGAATCATTTTATGAATTCTTGACGTTTGTTTTATCTTGATCTTTTTAATATCACTGTCATTTATTTATTTATTTTTGTCTTGTCTGAATATTTACTTATATGTACATAGTAGCTATGTTTTGCCAATAGCTATTTATTTAATTATTCTTATTTGGGTAATTACAAAACGAATGATCATTCATTTACAAATTGAATATTCACTAGAGATAGTGTTGAGTGTGACGGCTATCAGTTGAGATGACCAGAAAAGAAGCACATTTACATATACATGCTGCGACATTTTATTAACAATGATTACTTATCAAAGGAACTTATGCATCATGTTAAGAATGAAAAGAATAATTGACAAGTTAACACTCTAAAATGATCCTTTCTGTTTGTTCCCATATTATGTCAATATGTAGGAAGTCATCAAGGTAGTGTAACCTTCAAAGGTGTTTTGTTCGTGCTTAGATTTGGTCGAGATAACGACTTTCAAAAGAGGTTTCTTCTACAAAAGTCCAATCTTCGAAAACAATTATATTTGGGAATTTTTACCTTAAACGTTGTGCACATGAAAGTCACTATTATTAGAGTATTTTATGTAAAAAGTTTTATCAGTTTTGAATATTATATTGGCAAGATGTTATACAGCAATCTAAAAAAAGCGTAAATATGTTGAGAAATTCATATCTTATTTTTCAGTTTTTTTTACTCTTTCATACTGATTTGGATATTCTTCTTTTTCTTATTATTCATTAAAAAATACATATATTTACAACAAATCAATTTTCATACAATTTTATTTACATATGTTTCGAAAGTGTCAGCTTTCTTCAGTGTTCAATTTAAAATAGAACAACAAAATGATAAGTGCACAATTGTATATATATACTTGTTCTTTTCATCTTTTTTTTTACAATACTGGTACGAAAGAAGATGAACTATAACCTATCTCGTCCAGGTTATGGTCTTGTTTCTTCTTCCGTACCAGTATTGTAAAAAAAAAAGATAAAAAGGAAAAAGAAAAAAAACAAGTACATATACAATTGTACACATATCATTTTGTTGTTCTCTTTTAAATTTAACACACTGAAGAAGAAAGCTGATGCTTTCGGAACGTATGTAAATCAAATTGTATGAAAACTGAATTATTATAAATATACATACTTATTAATAAATAATAATAATAATAAAAAGAAAATCAGTCTTTTTTCGCGCTATGAGAATAAAACATGTTCGTTCCATTTCGATATATATACGAATACTTCTACTGCCGTGCATAGCGTGTCTATTTCTATTAAACTTTAATTGATTTTAAACAAACAATAAAAGCAATTAACGATACTAAACGTCCACATATATGTACAATCAAAGAGAAACGATGATACGCGAGGAAAAAGATCGTCTTTGTGATGAAAATGATAAAATAACTCAAGATATGGTACATCCACAGACAGAACATGAATGTATTGTCGACTATAATCTACGAAAAAATAATTATAATGACGATTCAAACCGAAATCAATTTAAACAACACCTTACCTTAACTAAACAAGTTGATGAACGTGATATTTGTGAAGATGATAATAATTATCCATTTACTTTCGTATCAAGGGGAGCGAAACGTAAACCAAAAGGTCTAAACGAAAAAGAAAACAACGGCAACAAAGAAAGATGATGCTACACCAGATACCAATTGCACCACCTCAACAATAACATGCAATGGCGGACGACTGTTTATAAATAGTAAAAGCAGAACGAACAAAAAATTGTCATGACATCGATATAGAAACATACAATGCAAGACGATACCAGCATATGAAGAAAAAAGAAAAAAAAATAAACATCATAAAATGACAAGTGATGATGAAAATGTCATCGGCAAGTCAATATCAATACACAGAATAGATATTGATGAAAACGAAAATAATAATGATAGAATAAATAATGACAAGACTAAAAAATAAAAAACTCTCCAATACTAAACACACTTTACAATATGCCGTCGAGCATCACCTACCGCCCTTATGTATTCAATCCCAACCTAAAATTGAAAATCATGAAAAAGCAAAGGAAATTATTAAGTCACTCTTTAACTACATTGAACAGAACCTTTAACGACTTAATAAAAACGTCAGATTCTCAATCGGATTTAATCATTGGTATATTAATAAAGAAGGATATTTAACATGTTAAATGCGTCTTGCAGAACGTTTTGTTTACGTGTCTGAATCAAACAATTATCCACGAAATATCAATAGTACAGAAATAATGCCTTGTAGACCTAAACATCTTCCATCTCAATATACTCCAATTCCTACATTCCTACCCAATTATATCACATATGAACCGATTTATAAAGAACTCAATATACACCTTCTGCATTCACTATACAATATCGAAGAAATGAAAGGGTCAAAAAACAGTTAAATTTGGACATATTCGACTCGAACTAAAATCACACTCTGAATATGAACAATTATTATGAAGTGGCACAACAACAATTGACGGATATCTCTTACCACCAAATGTTCGAATATTTATTCCAATTGATTGCTGTGATAATGGAAATAAGAAGAATAAAATGTTGATCAATCTACAATCAAAGACAAATAATACTGCAGTTAACCGAACAGGTCACGTTTCATTTAATATTAGCTCGCACAGTTGATCGATACTTAAAAGTAAATCGCAAAACCAACACATGAAATAAAGTAAATGAACAGACCATATGAGACAACCTAACAGCCAAGCAAGATGAAATTAACAAGTTAATGGCTGAATTCAATCTAAAACTATCGAGCTCTCAAACAAAATACAATAATCACCTAATAAAAATGAATGTAGTCTTGCTAAGTGTTTCGTAATAAACAAAATACCAAAATGAAAGTGTTGAGCGGTGCTATGCCACCATAAACGAAGTTTTACCTATATTATCGTCTAGATTAGAAAAAATTCAACGGATTTTCACAAAAGTCAATAAAATTAATGAAAATTGTACAGATAACAACGATACACAAGAAATACTCTATCACATATCTGAATCTTTCGAATTTATTAAAGACCGTAATAAATTACTCATTACTAACCAAAAAAGCACTCAGTAATCCAGTGGAACAACAAGACCAGTTGGTAATTCAAGGCATTAACAGCTTGATAACAATTGATGAATAACCAAATCTTCAACCTTAAATCAGCGGCCAATTATTATCATCTCATTCCAAAATCAAACACAACAGTAAAACAATCATCAGATTTAATAGACAATAGCAATGATTTTGAACTGCCTCATGAAAGTAATTTTTCAATGTGAAAATGCCGTGAAATTCTAGGAGTTTCTTGAATTCGACACTGACAAGATGCCATAACTTTTACTATTTAGCATCGATGTGTCGATATTGATGTCACACTCCACTGATCTTCTTTTCCTTTTTCCTCTCTCTATTGTGCTTTCCTGTTTTCATCTCTCTCTTTTCTCCCTCCTATATAAGCGTGTGTTGTATGTGAAGTAGTCACGTTCTGGACATGTGAAGTTGCCCAATAAACATCATTACCGAGAGTGGCGGCAAGCTATTCAACCAGCTTGTCGTTACAATCGATAAATCCCATTTTCAGCGCGCTTTAATTTGGTATATAATTTGTTATAGATGCTATTTGAAACCATAGCATTACCTCCTGGAAAAATATTTTTACCCACCCTGTAATAATTTTTTCGACAATGATACGCGTTTGTGTCTACTTCGTTTATTTAATATATAATCAAAAATGTGCACTTGTTGAATCAACCTAAATATCATTACATTTATTTTATAGCTATAATATATTCAGTGTTGGAACCATGTACTTTTAACACTACGTTCAACAATCAATATTTTACCTATAGTTTGCCATAAGAATCCTTTACTAAGAGCGAGCGATAGGTTTTTATATGTATCGTTAATGAACGAACAGCTGGATTTGTATTGTCATTGCAATTTATTGATAGTAATCGAAAGATTTTTAAAAAAGCGTTTTTACCTAGAAAATTTGTATGTATTCATTAATTATTGTTGTGTGTTGCTCCTATTTCATCGATGATAATTTTCAAATGGATTCTACATATATTATTACTCTTAATATATCAGTTTTCCTATAATTTGTTCTTATGATCATGTTCAATCAAAAATTATGAATATCTGCAGCACTAATGAGAAGCATTGATTGGTAACAATTATTTGATTTCAATAATGGAATGCCTATTTTGTTTAGAAACTTTATTTTTACCAGAATCGAAAATGCGAGATGTATATTATTGATAACTTCGTGAATATATGTGAATAGAGAACTAAGCAATTTAATCAAGAAAAGCGTAATACAGCAATAAAAATTGTGTCCTTTCGTAAGCATATAAAATCTTTTTTTAACGTTTTTAAATAGAACGAAACAAATCAATAAGTGGTATATTTTTTTTTTTCTTTTTCTCTTCAAGCGGTTTCGTCACGTGAAGCAAAAACAATTCGACTGATAGAATGTTTTAAGCAGTTGTTTTTGTTGTAGAAAAGAAACAAAAAACGAGAACAGACATATGGGCTGGTAGGCTTTGCAAATGAAAAAAAAATGAGTATGTTTTTATCAACATAATGTGATCTTTTCTTTTTTAAGATTAGATTTAAGCCTAGTATACGTTGTAATCGAACATGAACAATAGCAATAATTATTTTATTTTGACTATTTTTTGTCTTCAAACACTTTACAATTGTATTCTTGCAGTAATCGGACAATGTATCTATGGATTTTTTCTACAAACTTATCCTGATACGTATCAAAATTGGACAATAATCAATAATTTATCTTTGAAGATTGACACATTTGAATTAAATCGAGATCAATGCACAGAAAATACAGCAGATATTTCAAATAATTCTGCTCAAATATGGGCACAGCAACATTCAGCGGATTTACTATTTCGAGCAACTCTATGGAGAGCATTTCCAGTAATTATCGTCACGTATTTATTTGGTCTATATGCTTCACAATTAAATCGACGATTAGTATTAATATTGTCTGTATTGGTAAACGCTATTCATGTGATTATTTATCAAGTAATCATCTATAAAAATTTAGCTGAATATTGGTGGTATATATCGGCTTTCATTGCTGGTTTGGGAGGTGGCACTAATATTCTAGGTCATTATCGATATTTTTCGATTGATTTGATTCTTCTCTTTCTTCGGTTTAGGTATTGTGATCAATTTGGTGATCACAGAGAGTACCGAAGAAAGTGAACGATCATCACGTTTTGTACGTTATGGTGCTATGACAACGGCTTTATCAGCAATAGCAACATTCGGTATTGGTTATTATATTCAATGGCGTGGCTATACAGATCTATTATGGATGGCCATTGGATTGGAATTATTGTCAATTTTTGTTATTATTTTCTTTTTGAAACCAACATATCGCTCAGCATCAGTTGATGAAACTACAGCTCTACTCTCATCATCATCATCGTCAAACGATGTACATATCATGATTAAGACACCTACCATATCTAAATGTTACCATTGTTTTGATATTTGTACAGTACTTAGTTTTAAACATCGTTCGAAAAAGAAATCAATTAGTCTCATTTTAATCATTGCTTCCTATACATTTCATTTATTGGCATTATCATCATTGTCTATAATGCTTTGGTATCTTCTTGGTGCTCCGTTTTGTTGGTCATCAAAAGATCTTGGCCAATATTATGCAGTATCATTTATTACTACGGCTATTTTCAGTATACTAGGCATGAAAATATTGAGTTGTATTGGAGCAAATGATGTCATAATATGTACCCTTAGTCATATTTGTTTCTGTATATATTCATTATGGATTTCACTAGCTCAATATAGTTGGCAATTGTATATAGCATTATTAATTAATCCATATACGAGTTATCAAAGTGTATTGACAATACCAATGATATCCATTTGGTTGGAAGTTCATGAACGTAATAATGCTTTTACATTACTAACAGAAATAAATACAATTATTTTGGCTTTTGGCAATTCATTATTCAATTGGATCTATGCTCGAACAGTAACCTATCAAAAAAATTTTACATTATTCCTTGCTAGTGGACTTTGTATTATACCTTGTATTCTCAATATGTAAGTATTTATTCTTTCGTAAAAAATATTTATTTGTTTATTTCATTGTTAGATGTCTTTTCGTGATCAGTCGACGAACTTCTAATGAACAAGCATTGATAGTCGTATCAAAGACAAATGCAGAATCAACACTATTGCCTCTATCGAATAATGTACTTTCACAAGCAGCTGATGTAGCTTGTCTAATTCAACCACCTCATTCACTTACTGATGCTTTCTGTACATCTCACAATAATAGATCTTGCGTTCATTCTTACTCCTCAATCGATAATCAAAGTGATAGACAAGTAATCAAATAATTTATTCCATGCGTCTATTTTTCTATCTCTCTATTCGTTAAAATTGACAATAAACAAATTAATTGTTAATTTGTAAAAAAAAATAAGTTTAGCCTGTCTTTTTTTTTGAAAAGTAAGAAAAACATAATGACTAGGTTTAAAAAATTGGTTCTTGTGTTGTAATAAAAGTAATTATGAACGTTCTCTTTCTAAAATGAATAATATATTTATATAAATAATACATCAGTGATTTAAGAAAATCTCGTGTCAAAATATGACGGTCAACTAATTTACAATTAATATAGTTTCGAATGATATTTTATCATCAAAGATAAAGAACGAAAAAAGCAACGAAATCTATTATCGTGTTAAAGGTAAAGAAGAGATTCATTAGAATAATTGATGCATATATATATGTATTGCATCAGTCAACTTGAAGTACCGTTCGAATTTTATTAATAAAAGTTACGAAACTAATTATAATTTTGTTTAGCTCGGTACTTTTACAAACTTCCGATACATTTTTACGTAACAAAACACTAACTAGATTTTAAAAATTACCGCTATATTTGTCGTCTTTGCTAGTAAGCGTAAGTATTTGAATAAAAAGCTGAATGGCAGTTGTATAGGAACAACATTAACGACACGTAACCTTGTTTAATGATTAGATTAGGATTTTTTTCGCGACTAGGAATATATAGTATAGAGAAGTATTTAGCAACAATCGAAGATTAATATTAGACAGTGAATGATGTTTTTAGTAGCTGACTTGTCGTATAAATGTTCATTTATAATAACGAGAAATTTTTCTGTTCTGCGTTGAACAATGACTGAGTAAGAATAAATCAAACAGAATAATTTATCATAAATGTAATAAAAGATAATTATATGTCTGAAATCAACCCGAAGAATAAAATGAAATATATTATCTAAACTTTTACAGAATAATTTTTGTATCTCTTATGTTTTTCTATGTGTACTATTGCTACTTGATTGAAATATGAGTGTGGACGTGCATCATACCAAGAGCCACATCCACATCCTTTAATTAGCCTAGGAATGTCTGCGTTCTCCTTCCTAGGAATTCCCTTCCTAAAGAACATAAATACATATGACATATGGTTCTTTTTATCATTTCTGAATACATTAGAGCATATAAGCATACCTTTTCTTTCATTTTATAACAATTTACTATGTGTTGCCAGATTCGTAGTAACGGATCTCACAAATGGTTTCATGTTGCTAGAAGCCGAAGATGGAACTCTTAACTAATATTCTAGATGAAACGACTCTGTTGAGAATCGATATTCAACAGGAATCAACAAGTATATCTATATAGCAGTGGCAAAATCAGTGTTTTATCCAGAATTTTTATGTATGCTGGATCTCAGCTTCACAGCATGGGGCCAGATAAGACTTATAGAGGGTGATATTGGATCCAAATGATGAACTTTTATTAAAAATGTTTTCAATCAGAGCTTGCTAAAAAAATTTTGTTTTTGCTTTTGGTAGTATTCTGTTTTTTAGAATTCAATCGTAATCTACATTGAATGTCATCGAAAAATATGCATCCATTCAGGAGCTATAACATTTTGAATTTTTTTGAATAACTTCTGAATGGATGCATAGTTTTCGATGAAATTTTAAATCTGTCGGTGAAACTCGATGTAGACTACGATCAGAGATGTCCATCGCGGCTCGAAATCTGCCGCTGCCGAGATGGTACTCGAAAAAAAGTTTCGAATTTCATTGCTGTGAGTGTTTTGAAATACAATTCTTGTCACTAATCAATGAGATTCATTGAGTCTTAGAATGTTACGTTTGTGGATACTAAATTTTTGTGCAAATTCATGTAATTTTTGCAATGTCTTCCAGAAATAAGGTGCCGCCGCCGCACCGTGATGAACATCTCTGACTACGATTGAATTCTAAAAAAGAGAAAACTACTAAAAGCACAAAAATTTCTTGTAAGCTAGGATCGAAAAATTTTTTTAATAAAAACTCATTATTTGGGTCCAATATCACCCTCTATAAGTTTCATCTGGATCCCATGCTCTGAAGCTGAGATCCAGCATACTCACAACTCCTGGATAAAATACTGAACAAAATACTTGCGAATCGTATTTTTCACGAATACTTCCATAGATAGTCAACCGTCAATAGTACAAGATTCTCAGAAGACTTTTTCATTTGTAGAATCTTGTAAAGTTCGTTCCGTTGATCATTTTTGGTGAAAAACCAAAATGCTCAAAAGCTTCGGCTATCCTGATCTGCTGCTGAGCGATAGTCGATATAATCGAGTCTTGTGACCTTAGCACCATATTTTATTAAGTAAATTTGAATATTGTTTTTTTTTTACCAAAATGATCAGCGCCACGACGTCCACAGTTATGTAGACGAAAAATTTTCTGAGAATCTTGTGTATCCATCAAAAATACGATTCGCAAACATTTTATCGTGTGTAGTATGTTAAAAAACTTTCAATCATTTCTGATGTTTATCATTATGTAAACTTCCATAACGTCGTACAGTGGTCGTCAAGTTCGAGAACTGATGATTTTAGGCATGTTTTCCATTGTGGTTTGATTTACGTTCTAATTATATTATCTTTCATGATAATGTAAGTTAGTAAGGTGTGAGCAAACAGAAGATTCACAATCACAGGCTCAAAAATATTAATCGATCCAAAATCTGTTATAAAGCATTATACGCTGTGAAATAAATTCTTAAATATATAAAAGGTTGCGATATGTTATATATACAGGATCGATGATCAAGTGAGATTTATAGATTATCTGTCATATGAATGTCACTTACATCATTAGAATTATATTTGTCTATTGAATTAAAATATATGTCATATAAGAATTAAAAAAATATTCACGTAGGTTATTTATTGGTGACATTTATATTGTTTTATGTGAGAACATAAATGATCTTGTAAGCACACAGAAAGCGAGAACGTGTTTTTATTTGACATTTGCACCCTGTCATATTACGTCGCTAGTTTTTCATAGTTTATACAATGATATTAGAATTATTATCTAATGAAATCTTATTCGACGTATTCGAATTCCTACATATGTTTGATTAACTTCATGCTTAAATTGTTATACAGTTCAATCACATGCATTGTTATCGACAAAAAATTAGAATTTTATTAGTTCTTTCAAGCAGAATATTTCGGCTCTATCAAAATTTATGCATTGTAATTTAAAGCGTTTCTTGGCAGTTGACAAATCTTCAGATAGAATCCTAAGAACCTTATCAATAATTGAATATCTTTCTATCCAAATTTCATTTTGTCACTTACTTACTAGATTAAATTTCTGCAAAAAACCACATATCTCATCTTCAATAGTTAAATAAGTACCGAGGTTAAGGTCAAAATTCAGAAAATCAATCATTTGAAGTTATTACTTTATCGATGATGACAATGAAATATTTCATAACAGATGATAAACAATCAATAAAAAAAGTCAATGTTTGTCAATTTGAGTAATTTAACATTGGAAATACTTGACATATATTGAAATATACGAATGAGAACAAAAAGATTACTGATCATTCATCTAATAGTTCAAGTAAACATGAAATTCAAATTTTTTCACCGTTTGAATATAATTCATCCTTATACAGCAAATTTTTATTTGAATGATAAAATTCGAACGTTTTCTGTTTTCGTCGTAGAATAAACTCACATCTTGACTTATTTTTTAAATCATTGTATGATACAACATTTCAGCTCTATTCTTTTTAACATTATTCGTTTTACATGATGTGCCCTATAGATTTATTTCAGTTTGACAAATGAATCGATTTGCAGATCAAATTGTAGAAACAGGTTTCTTTTGTCAGTAGAGACTGTATTACTTTAGCTAGCTTATTTCTTACTTGCCAGTGTGAATTTCTTGCAGTCAAAGCTGAAAAGTGAACAGATGTTCTTATCTTTGTGTTAACCATATGTCAAATCTTCGACTATTGACTGTTTGATGTAAATATGACAGATGGAAAAAAGGTACACGTCTATATATTGATAGTTGATGCGATTTTTCAATAGTTACATAATTATTTTCCAACAATGAGATTTAATTATGAATTTATTGATAGATAGAGAAATATTTTTATATAACTTAACATCTGAAATATGAAGACAAAATTATGTAAAAACTTTATAAAACAAAAAAATGGATTGTACATAATTAAATATTATTGATTTTTTTAATAAAAATTTCACATGATAATTTATTCTTCGATTATTATTCACAAGTTTATTTATCAGTGTTTGATCATTTTCCCTAATCAATTTGAAGATTTACTAAATAATTTTTCTCGCTCAAAATTTTATGTTTTGTTTTATTTTGGAATAATATCGTAGAATTAATGAAATTCTTAATGCATATTATGAATTGTTTATGATTTTTCTTTTCAAACCAAAAGTAGAAAAAGAAATTCTTCGCATTTCATAAATAATTATGCCAGTTAGAGCAATAGAGTTAATAAAAGAAAAACAATTATTCACTTTCTTTGTATACTAGACGAGTGCTGTTGAAATAGAAAAGAAAAAGCGGAGTACTACGTGTGTATATAATTTCTATTTTTTCATATCACGTTAAATGAACTTAATATTTTACTCTGCCGGATATAGATCAATCAACAATAAACACGATAGAAAAACACAATTCTTCTTGGTCCTTCATTCTTCATATTATACAGTTAGCTTGTGATGCAAATATGACATTATCATCGCATCCATGATCAATGGACATGCGCGAGCATTCACCTCATACATTAAGCAATGATTATAATCAAGAGCGTTTAAATGAATTTCCTTCATTAGCCAATCAAATAGATGTAGTTTCCAATCCACCTAATAATCTATCTTTGACACGACGATCCTGTTTCACAATTCTTAACGAATGGTTTAGATATGTTTACCGAAGAGTAAAACGTCCCGAAAATGAAAATAATCAACAATCTGAAGAAGCCACTAATTATCAACAAGTCGAACTCAATCAAAGAGAAATCAATCTCGGTAAATCTAGACGAGAAAACAAAATGACACAAGATCTTCAACAGAAAATACAGCAACGAAATCTTTTTCCTTTTCAACGTCAATTTCGAACTATTAAAATAAAAGATAAAAGTTCTGTATCCATGGCCTGTAATGACAAACATATAATATTAAAGCAAAAACCTAATTTATGTTTATTTGATAAACAATTAACTATTGTTAAAGAAATACCATGGACCTATGCTCATGTTCATATCTGTTGGTCATCAACACTCGATCAATTTATTCTTATTACAGAAAAAGTTATTTTCACTTTCGATGATAATACAATGATACTTGATCAATGTCAAATTGATCTTATTAACGATAAAGAATGGTCAGCCGGATCATGTACAGATACTTCCTTGTACTTATCGACTGGAGAAATGTCTACAACTCTCTACGAATATACACTTCGACCGACAATCGAATTTGTTAAAGAATGGCAATTATTGGCTTTACACTCAAGATATGAAGGTATTCTTACATTTACTTGTGCGAATGGAAAAATTGCTCTCGTTATCTCGAATATTTATGTTTTTCAAAGACGTTTCGAATTACGCTCAACGTCGACATTCGAACGTTTATGGTCTATTCCACTCAATGTAGTTGCTCATTGTTGTTCGATAAATAATGATCAATGGTTCATTATGGAATTATTACAACCTCGACTTTTACATGTTTCTTCCGATGGAAAAATCTTACAAGAATACAAAGTCAAAACACCATCATTAAATATTATATGGAATGCAGTTCAATTTGATAACGATACTATTGCAACATTGACTATGGACAGTCTTAATCTTCATAAGATCTCATAATTATAATTGATGTTTTATTGATCATATTTTGTAATAACAATAGAAAGTTCGGTATGAAAATCATTTTACTTTTATGAAACATTTTAAAATTTCTTATAGATATTCATATATAGAAGAAGAATTGACAAATTCCCTGCCGAATGCTTTTATCTCTATATTGAACATTGACAAAAAAAGTGACTTGTTTTATTGCAATTCGGTAATGATAGTTGGTTGCTATTAAAAATCTATGATTGTAGTACAATTTCTCTATTTCTTGAAACTTTTAATTTCTTATCAATGAGAATAATCATATCAATTTATGATAATGATAAAAGTCAATCAAATAAATTTCATAAAAACAAAGTATATAGAAAGAGAATTACAATTTGATCTATAGTTGAAGATTTTATAGATGCTGCTTCGATATTTATTGATTGAATTCATATATTAGAAAAAAAAACGGGCATTTGATGGATAAATGAGATTATTTCAATAGAGAAAACTACTTAGTATATTGATTACACTTAAAATGCATTATTGAAGTTCCAAACTATTTTATATTCGATAAAATGATGATTGAAAAGGATCACATTCTCTGCCAAGTGCCGTATTAGTCTATTCGTTAGAATAAGATTACTGATTGACATTATTAAATAACTGATAAAAAATATCTTACACATGGTTGCTCAATTTGTTTGAAAATATATTTTGCATGAATAAAAAACTTATATCTTATAAGCCAGCCATTCAAACTAATTTAATTGTGTAAAATTTCTTTTAAGAACAAGTTCTTCTTTCAACGAAGAGGTCAATTCATTATTATGAATCGAAAAAAAATAAAAATTGAAAACTACTAGCAAATTTGGTTAAATGAGTAGAAAAACATTGTGTTTTATTATGATCTGTTAATGGACCAACTTATTTAATAAAGAGAAAAGTTGAATATATTTGAAAAATAAGTTTAATCATACCAATAAATCATCGGATTACCAATTATTATATTGATCAAGATAGTAGCAACCAGATGTATAAATACATAGTGAATAGTTAGATGTAAAATTGAATGGTTCATCAAATTTGGGTAGATTACTGATTGATACATTGTTATAGAAATCTTCAATTTCTATTGAATTTAATTCTCATAAACTAAATACAATTAATTTATGATGTCATATTTGTCGATTATCAAAAACATATTTATAGATACCATTTTCTGTTAAATCTATTGTAAAGATTAATTTGTTTTTTTTTCTAATAGAATATTAACAATACTTACTCGCTGAACAGAATAATGATTATTGGTCAATATCATTTTTCGAACTATTTAAATGATGTGTACCATCAAATTTATAGATAAATACATAGCTGAGACTAATATCGAGTGGTAGTATTTCAAAATGTAAAGACATAGTCAAATTATTATTAATCATAAATTGATCTGAATGAATGAAATTTAAATAAAATGGTTTTTTATTATTACTTATTGAGGTAACATTTTGTAAAATCATATCTGGTAATTTCAAATTTGAATCTCAAGGAATAAAAAACTAGATTGGTTGTTTATCATTAGTATGAATAGGAACTTCATTACCAAATTGATCAAGCAAAGATAATGAAATAGCTCTTGACATATTTGTATTTGCTGATGTTTGAGAAGCACCAGCTGGAGCTAATGAATGCATTGTTGACTAAATAAAGAAAGTAAATATTTATTCAGAAATCAATAATTTACTCGAAGTATTATAGTAGTGTTTTTTAGCAGATTTTATTGAAAATCCGATGGAATACGAATATGTGCGTCACCAACTTGTTCAATTGATTTATTCAATAGAGATCCAATTATCGTAATTTCTACATCAACTAACAATGATGCTAAATTCATTTTCATCTTCTGCCCTGTGCTTAAATGAATTTTTAGTGTTGCAGTGATTAATGAAATAGTTGCAGTAGCTTGTTCATCGATTTCATCTGCCTATGAATTTCAAAAGTTTGAAAAAAAATATGAATGCGTTAAACTTACTTTTTTCTTTTGATAATAAACAATTCGACTTTCTTTTGCTGTTGCTTTTAAAAAATCATCTTCATCATTAAGTAAATCTATACATATACATGCATATATAAATTTAATTAACAATCATGTGTTATCATTAAAAAAAAATTGTTAGCGCAATTCTTCCAGGACTAGAATGTGAAACACAATGCAGCAGCTGCTGCTGCTAATCGCAGGGATATTGTTTTGTTTTCTTCATATCTTGGGATACATTTCTTCACCCTTCTTTTACTTAATCTTCCATAAATTTAATAATCCTTGAAAAAAAAGGTTTATAAAAAAGACCAGTCGAAAGTGTGTTTTTCAAATAATAAAACGTATTCCGAAGGCCTTTCATGGATACGATAATCAGAGCTCCCGATCTGGTTCATCAGTTTTGAAAATCAAAAGTTGATATATCGCTTTATTACTCGAGAGTACGCTAACCAATTCATACGATTCTAGCAATACGTGATTGGAAAAAAAAAGTCAATTCAGTGCTGTAGGACTCACATTTACTGACAGAAGAACTTTATAGATCCAAAATAATTGAATAGTAAATTTTACGATTGTGCTGCTGCAAAAATTTACTGTTAAATGTAAATGTCCTTGTCTGTTTTTTTTTTTTTTTATAAATATCACTTATTCTCTACATTTTCGTTGTATGTTTCACCTTATGTTGTTTTGGTTATTATGATTACGCTTTTTCTATAATGTGAAACAGAAGAAATATGATTAAAGACATTATGCTAATTGAAATCTTTCTTCTATGAAAAATATTTATAATGATTGTCTCCTGCTTTTTATTTTACTTTTCGTACAAGGACTTGTTATTATTTTATCTCTACGGAAATAAATTCAGGGAAGAATTGAAACTGGAATGATGTATTCATACACAGTAGCAAAATTAAATGTATTCACAGAATCAGAAACATCAATCCGTCTGGTTTGGTCCTGTTCTTTTTTTTATAAATTCTTTTTTCATGGGAAGCAAATAGTTAAACTATTGTAACGAGTCGTTATTGATATAGAGTTTGCAATCGGATTTCAATAATGTCTGTCACAATATGCGAGCGAGGGACGGGATGAACAGATTTCTACCCTATATAGTACTTCAACACTACTTTTATATCGTCTTGCACAAAAAAAATCTTACTTAAATTTAACTGAATAAGTTCGAGATCAACTTCATAATCGTTAAACATAGTATCTTCAGGGATCGAATCAACATTAAGAAAAAATGTTGATTCTTGTAATGGTGCATTAATGGCCTGAAAACATATAGGAAAATTTCATAGCAATATCATTGAGTGTACAAGTAAGTTGATAGCATTTCTGCGATGCAAACACTTTGTAAAAAAGATATATAATTCAATAGAAGAAAGACAAATATAATTACAGATGCTGTTCTTGTGAGTTCATTTGTCGCTTCAGCGAATTGCGCAAGGTTACTTGCGTGTAATTGAATACTATCTATAACTGTGATTGCAAGATTGGTAGTTACTTTGATGAGATGATCACGTATCTTTGCAAACGCATTCAAATTTTTAATGTATTCACTAATGATTGAAGTATTTGTTAGTTCGTGTGACTATTCGAATGATAATGTTAACATATCAAACAAAAGAAAATCAAATAATTTATATCTCAGATCGACGTTTGCTACCTAATGTTGATATTGAAATACTTGCAGCAGAAATGTCACCTAAAAAAATATTTTAATACTATGAAAGAGATAATCTATGGCATATTTACTTGTAACAACTTTTTTCAATCTATGTTCATTTCTCTTACTTAACTCTTATGAAAGTAAAGTAACCGCTTGTGAAACGATATTTTGATTACCACTAGCGAGAGCTTGAACAAGAGGATCATTATTTTTGTTATGACTTGTATTTTGTATAACATCAATTAATGTATTGATAGATGTTTCATCCAGGATAACAACGATAGGTTCTTCTATAGAGAATTCTTGTACATCGTTGAGCGTATTTCGAATATGAACTTTTAAGTTAAGCGATGATGTATTTTTATCACTAGTAGGTAATTTTATATCTAAGGTAGACAATATTGTGAAAGCAAGCATCACTAGTTTCAAAGAATTTTCAGACTGAACTATGATTGAAAAAAGAAGAACAAATATTTCAATTTATCTTCAAGAGTATATATTGTTACGGTAGAACGAATAATCTTTGATACCATCTTCATCGAGCCAACCGGTACAGTTGATTGTAAATAAAGTGCTTGTTGTACCATTTTCAGGATCAATCGAGCAAGACCCATTTTGAGGTGGTTGATTGATAATAAAATCTAATGCACTCGAACTTGTTTCATTATAAAATGTATAAACAACTTCAAAACGCTAATACTCAATATGCGAATTTTTAGTAAATAATGTATTGAGGAGAATACATCCTATTCCGCAATGTTGCACATTGCGGGAACCAGTTCCGCCCCGGAATCAGTTCCTTCAATTCCGGAATTCCTATAATGACCCTTTCATCTAATTTCGGAATCCCAACAACCTAATTCTTACCAATTCCGGAATGCCTAGAACCTAATTCCTATCGATTCCGGAATTCCCTGACGAAATCATACCATCTCCCCTCACTCTCACTTGTTGTCTTGTGTTGCCAAGTTATGGCCTTCCAAACACGACCTAATTCCGATACGGAATTCCGGAATTGCTTCGCACATGGAATCCGTAGGAATTCCCCGGAATTCCTATCAATTCCGGAATCGGTGGGAATTAGACCGAATTCCTAGGAATTCCTACCGATTCCGTCTCGGACACAATTCCGGAATTCCATGATGGAATCACACCATCTCTCCTCACCCTCACTTGTTGTCTTGTGTTGCAAAATTATACCCTTCCAAAGACGACCGAATTCCGTGAAATACGGAATCGGTGGGAATTGGACGGAATTCCTAGCAATTCCGGAATCTGTGGGAATTAGATGGAATTCGCGGGAATTCCGAGGAATTTCTACCGATTCCGTCTCGGACACAATTTCGGAATTAGTTGGAGGAGTTCCGGAATTAGTTAAAGAAATTCCGGAATTACTTAGAGGAATTTGGGAATTAGGTTGGAGAGATTCCGGAATTGGTGGAACTGATTCCGCGGGCGGAACTGGTTCCGGAATGTGCAACATTGCGGAATAGGATGACTGCTCGTATTGAGAGCAGTGAAATTACTTAGTAACATATCGTATGCATGTTCGAATATAATCTTCATTCTTACATATTTAGATTTAGACTCGTCCGGACTCGTCCGCCACATAACACAACAACTCGTTCCATGTACCGTCCACGACGTTCTTAATTTTTCAGTTTTAATTCGTTTTCGAACGAAAGTCCTGGACGGGTCGCTTTTGACTAAAGGACTAGTCTCATCATGTCACTGACACTCGACAACGACATGTTAGGACCTGTATGCGTGACGGCTCGAAGTTCAGACTAGTCATGTAGAGTCTTTTCTGAGACAAAGACTAGTCGAGGCTGGGTGACATGACTAGAAAAAAGATTAGACATTTAAGCTGCCTTTTGTTCACTTGGGGTGTGAATCGATTTTGATATCGAAGACAAGTGCTAACTTCGGTACTCATCGATCTAGAAGAATTTTTCTTAATTAAATGTACTATGCAGAATTTGAATGCATGTCGAGCGATCGGAAGTTTGAGCCTATAATTCGACTCTTCTGACGATCTCAGATTCTACAGATGTGATCAACATCAGTTAATAGTCTATTTCTTCTTTATTGTTGAGAAAAGCAACAAGTAATTCGAGCTCTTTTCTATAATCATTAATAACTGTTACATTTTGCTTCTTGTACCTTCTATACTTCGAATGATTTCTTCTTGATAGTGTTGACTTTGATAATGTGTGTTTTCCTTTCTCTTCTCTTGTGTGGCTAGTAAATAAACGTGTGCTTGTATTGCTCTAGATACGAGTTAAGCCATGAAATAGCTTAATAAGCATCATTATCGAAAGCAGTGACAGAGCTACGCCTCCAGTTTATCGCATTCCCTCATTATTTTCATCGAGGACTATTGTTTGAATAATATTCGCTTACTTGCTTCCGTGCTGTGCTTCAAGTACTCTCAGGGAATGGCTTCTATTTTTATTTCCGGTGAGAAAACTTTGTTTTTGAATATATATATGCTTTTCAAAAAATAATTGCTTTTCTCTACTGACAACTATTTTACTGTATTTGTTAACAGCATCATAGACCGTTAGTTGCACACTACTCATGTTTCTATCTAGAAAACTTTACTAAACTTCGGATAGGAATTTGTATATTCCGCTGGAAGACGTAGTAGCATGCATCGAACGCTTTTGATGGTCACATATATCCGATGAGATGACCGAGAATAATTCGATATAGTTTTTGAAACTTGTTGGATGCATCCTAGGACAAACGCGCACGATATTTCATAAACAGATATTTGAACATTGCTTTGTGGTCTGTCGAAGGTTATCAAAGTCAGTACCTACTTTTCGATTCAGAGCAGGTTTAACGTTAGTTATTTTCGTTTGCAAGCACGTCTTTGTAGTTCATGAACAACAAATCTTCTTCGAAGTCAACGCTGTCTGCTAGTTGCACTTTCCTCTCTCACTTGGAACGAGTAATTAATCGTTGGAGCGTTTGTGTTTATCTTATCATAGCCTGCAATGATTTGCTTCGTTTTGATTTAGTCAAAATCAATTGTTTTTTTTTCGATTAGAAAATGCCACGTAGATGGCCATAAGATGTTTTCAACAAAATATTTATCAACTCATGCATATATTTAATTCATTAAAATGTAGAACAGAATCACAGATGAATGTATATGATTTTCAAATTCAGTAGCTGATTAGCAGTAAAAAAAGATGAATAATACAAAAATGAAGTTAACTTTTTTTTCTTTGATATTTTTACATTGTTCGATGTGGCTCGTTGGACTCTAGCAAACTGTATATATTAAATACTTTTTCAACAACTTTTTTTGAAATGAAATTAAGAAAAATGACTTATAAAATATTAAAAAATCTCGCATTTTTTGATGAAAAGAAACACTCAATCTTTGAAACAATTTAGCTTTTTTCATTAGTTCAAAAGTTTGGAAATGTGTTGATTCAATGCAGCGTCAAAAATTGCATCTAATGATATACGTTTGGTAGCGTTCACATGTGACGTAGTCAGACAACTGCTGAGCATAAGAAGGCGCCCTTCAACAGATGCTGCTCTGATCGCTGCCAAAAAAAAAGCATCAACTTTCTCTAGCCCCATATTTTGCTCCTCATATGATGGGTAGAAAAGTTACTTCTCTGTTTATTTTTCTGTCACATTGCGGTAGAGAACGATCATTTTTTCTAAACACAATCAACAAAAGAAAATATCGTTTTTTTCCTCTAGCTAAGTATTCTCGGACGAACACACGTTAATCGAAGGACAAACAGCAGTCTTTTGTCTTAAACTCTTGTTTTCCTTTCAGTAAGACCAGTAACATCACAACAATATCCATAATATTTTTTGTTGATATTCTTTCTGACCGAAGTGGAAATGCTCGCTCCAAACATTAGATAATTGTTACTTCAGAACCATTCTTTAGTAACTATATGTCATGACAGAAGTGTGATGATGTAGAAGTTTCTCGTGCAATATCAATTGGAACTTTTTAGCTGTATGAAAACAAAACGAATAAATGTAGTGAAGAAATTTCCTGACTTGTTACATGATTCCAATTTTGGTAATGAAAACTATGTTGCTACAATTACTGTTAATTTGGATGTAGGCTATCACTTTGACAGCAAGATTATTTTATTGCAATTCGAACGCTTTTGAAAATTAATGAAATTTAACAAGAGTGTGAAAATTACAAAATTGAAATATTAGTAGATAATGCACGAATACATACAGTCAAACCTTTAATGACTATTAATTTAGGAAAAGGTAATAGGATAAGATGCCCAATGTCATTTATTTAATACATCGGTTAGATAAATAATTCAAAAACGCTTGATTGGTTTTTTTCAAATAGTACGAAAAAAGTCAAAGTAACCCCTTATTGGCCATTGGCCTTGAGCTTGTTGTTAAAGTTTCAAACAGATTGCAGCTTAGAGGATGATCTTTGCTTTTCATCATTCAAATTCGTCATAGTTATTTGCTGTTTGCTTGAATTAATATTCATTTGAATATTACACAAAATATGAAAGAGTCTTAAAGCAAATCGAATGCAATAGCTAGAATAAAATTGAAACTATTCTTGTTCTATAAAGATCATTTGTAGGCACGTACATACGATTGGTATAGAAAAATATTTACTTTGTAACTTAGGTTTGTTTCTTAACTGATATGATAAGATTATACTGAAAAGTTGTTATCAAATGAATTTTGATCGGTCTCTTTTATGATATTGAATAATTTCGATTTTACTTGAGTAATTTTGTGCAATTTTTAAATACAAATAATGTCTAAGTCATTGAATAATTTTTTTATTTCAAGAAAATGTCAAATTAATTATTCTTTAAAATTTAATGCTCAATTTCCATATACAGAATATTTTTTTTTCTTTTGTTTAAATACTAAATAATATTGCCTTTTCTTCTTTAGTTTTCATGTCAGACGTTTGCTTGTGCTGCTACTGGTATACCGTCTGTAAATGATCACTCAAACAACGCGTATCGGTTACACACAGATAGAATGCCATTGAGAACATAGCCGACCGTTTAAATACTAGGCTACGTTCGGTTAATTGCCACTATAGCGTACATATTATACTGAACCGTCTAGTGGCGGTTTACTGGCAAGATTTGTTCAGTTTAAATCACACATGAGTTACCGAAATCATGTTAGAGTTTTCCATTAATGTTTGTTTAATGTGCTAACCGTGAACTTTAAGTATAATAAACGCCATAAGCTATTTTCAGTTGATCGAAAACAATTATCATATAATTTGTTCAAGTGAACTTACCATATTCAAGATAAAAGCTTTCTTTTCCATACTTTTTTTCTAAATCTACAAAATCAAAAAAAATGTATTTCTATCTTGTATATGACAGAAAAAATGAGAGTAGTTATTCTTAACCAAGATCATTAGAAATTTATGCTGAACTTGTTCGTTGAGTATCTGAATTAATTGAACATGAACATTTCTTTGATTCTTCTTGAATAACTCGTCAAATAGACGACGAAGAAATTATTGAATCTGTATTGTGTGTGTGGTCAAAGTAAAAAATTGGCGATTATTTTTAATTTTATTCAAAGAACTGTTCCAGAAATTATTCAGATTACTTAGAGAACCTACGTATTTGTGGTGGTTGTCGTAAGTTAAAATTTTTAATCTCGATTGATCTTAACCATGTATGTATTCTTTTCTATTTTAGATCAAGCTATAAAGCTCATAGTGAAAATCCGACAACAGAATATTTTTGTTCGTGATGCCAATCGCCTTCATCATTTTCATTCGAATGAAAAATGTTCATATCAAGATCATTTTTGACAACTTGTCATGAACTTATTTAATAAAAAGAACTGTTCCTCTACACAAAAGTTGTTTCTTTGTTTTTCGAATAGATTTTCATTATGAAAATAAAATTATAAATATTAAAAGTCATTGCATTGTTTTAATGTTGTCTTCTTGTTGATTCTTGAAAATCTAATCATTTGAGCAAGTTCAGATATATCGAATTTGATGCTGAATGGAAATAATTTCGTATCATGTGATAGAATATTTTTTGCTTTATGTTTCAACGATCATTTAAAGACTTTTAATGCAAATGCAATAACGACAAATTATTGCATGTTTTTGAAGAAGAAAAAAAAAGTAAAATTGCTATCGGCGCGTAAAAAAAGAATTTTATTCTATTGTTTTCATAGATTTTTCATGAACTAGTTGAGGTACATAAAACATTTAGTGAGCTCCAGATATGTATGACTGCTTAAAATTTATGAGTGTGGCTCTTAACGTGATGCACGCGCTCACTCGCCGATGCTTTTAAGCTGATAAAAAATAAAACTAGGATCGTCGTTTAACATTTGCACTATAAAGTTGTACACTTCACACTCACCAGTTATTTCATTAATTTTTTTTCTTGTTTTCTCAAGAATGGTATATTTGTCGATCATTAATAAAAATAATCTTGATTGGAAAGAATCAACTGTTGAGTATATCTTTTAGCTGCAATTTGCAATAAGTTCACCTAACTGATTCAATAATATGAGCAACACCATTACACAAGATACAGTTATAATCACTTGACCTTTTTTACTTTACGCTGATTTCGTCATTCAAGCTAATAATACGATCATATTCAAAATTAGTCAATGAAAACAGGAGAAAAGAAGATGCTAACCAGCAGCTTACTGTTCGTCAAGCAAAAGGTATAGGTTTCACTAATATTTATCAAGTAGACGATAAACTTAATTACTACACAAGTCATATACAACCATACTTTCAACATAAAGAGTAGTTCAATGATAAACTGCTGCAACAACGCATATGTTATAAATATTCTGATATATATCTAGATGTCGATGCAAAATAGCAATATGTGACGATCTTCTCAAACATGGTTTGGGTTGTGGAATATCGAATTATATGATTGCATAGAACTCATCAAATTATACTTGGAACTAGATCTGGGGCTCTGGAATAAGTTTTTGAACGAATTTCCCCTTGTATTACTCAAATTCCCTGCTAATTTTACTTACGTAATGTATACAGATCTCGTATTCTTCCTCTTGAGATACTACTCCTCGACTAGGTTGAATTCTACTGCATTGGTGTCCTTTTTTGGTTATCCTGCGCAGCCATTTGTACAATGTTATCATATAATAACTTTGTTACAGACCGGCAGATAAAGGTGAAGACCCGTGTGTACATCCTATTTTTTAGTCTAGGGAAAATAAACAAGATAAGCACTCGATAATCAATCGTGATTATGCTCAATCAAAATAATAATAATAATAATAATAATAAATGACATTTCTCATACTCCGGCGGTGAAGATCCTGGAGTTTATTGTCTGATATCCACATTTTCCATTCGTAAAACGAAGTTTATTATTGAAAATTGAGAAAAGAAAAAACACGATAGGCTAGCGACCTGTTTAAACTTCTAACGTACATAACTGCAAGCACGTATCATATTGAAAAAACTTCCAAGCTTTGATGAAACTCCTCGTGATCGTAGATTCTACTTAAAATGCTATGGAAAGCTAGGATACAAATATCAAATCAATAAAGACATTCTAGATAAAACAAGGAAATCACTAGAAATATCTCAACGTCCTTTCATCACTAAGAGCATGGTCATTATTATTTATACTGCCGAGGTCGAGGTGAAGTGTACGGCATCGAACTGTTAGTCGAGTAAGACGTCGTTTGAGATGAATTTCCACTGTCAACATTCATATTGGAATCCTAAAAATTGAACGGTACGAAAAGCATGTGCAATAAAAGAGCAAGATGGATTCGAGAATGCATACTTGTCTATAAGTATTAGACTGTATGTAATAGACATTGGACATAGGATAAGATTGAGTTTTTGAAGGACCATAATCTTGATACGTTGTTCGGTAAGGATTGTTTGGTCCGACATATTGCCACCATTCTAAAAGAATCAAAAACGACAATATCGATTATAAACAATGTAACGGACATTTACGTTTTTTGCTTGATGGTTGATGTACATAATTCGACCCTTGACTATTCGACGCTGTGTTATTGTATGACAAAGGTGCTTGTAGAGCGAGATAATTCATTCCCACATTGGCTGGAACGGTGGACGCTTGATGAGAAAATTGACCGTTCGGTTGACTTTCCATGCATCTTGATGATCGACTATTTTGATTATCGCTACTGTTCATGATCGATTTATTAATGGAGAAAAGTCAAAATCTACAACTTGAAGTCAATAAACTACAGCGAGAAAGAAAAGTACATACGTGGAAAATTAGTAGCTCGGAAATCATTTTCAACCAGTATTTTTCATTGGAAAAAATTCTGATTTTCAGCAACCATCACACAAAGACTGAAAAACGAGCGATCAACTTTTTTTGTAGAAATTTATCGCGTAAGTTGGCACAAACTTAGAAAGATTGTTTGTATGGCGATTTTATTTTCTGAAAATAGAAAGAAAACGGTAAAAAAACGTCGCTATCAGAAGCCAGTAAGCATAGAGAAAAATGTCGTTACCAAGGCTCTGTACGTCAACTCACTACGTCTACTCTGATTTACAGTCTCATGAGTATCGAAGCAATCGAGAAGTTGATTGATTCTTATGTAAACAGCATGCTTCAAGGAGCAAAACAGTAAGTGCAAAACGTTTTTGCTCACTTCTTTTCATACTGATTGGTACGTTACGTTGTTTGGCAAAAGAAAATGCTTTTTTTTTAATAGTCAACTATTGTTACCAATGAAAACAATTCAATGGCCTTACTGTTTGTTTGAAAGGATTTAGTACGTCAAATTTACTAACAAAAATCAAGAAAGAAAGCGTAACATGGATGATCATTGGTAAAATAGAGATCGAAGCCGTATGTTATATGTTCTCGAAAGAAAAATACTTGATCAAGTTTGTCATTATTTCATCAGGATACAGAACTTTTAATGGAGATCAATATTTGATTAATTTGAATTATAACTTCATCGTTCTTTTTTCTAATAACACAAAAAAAGAACATATTTGTATGCAATAATCCTTTCAGCTTAGTACATGCCGATTGATGACTAAAACGAGTCAAGAGGCGGTTGACACGATTCGATTTGGTTTGAATTCTTAAACTAGACTCAAAAGTCAAATTACAATTTTTTTTCATATCGACTTAAAATAATCATATCAATGCGGAATACACAAGATTAGACAAAAGTCACCGTTGGTTTTTTTTCGTGGTGGAGTTTATTGTGAACAAAAAACACAAGATTTAGATGCGAACAAAAGGAAAAAAGAACACCACAGTTAATCGACTGAGAAACTGAGGTAACGTTCTGACATGATAAGGTAGGACAAAAGGAATAAGGAAAAGGGAAGAATAAAAACAAACGAAGAGAAGGTACAGATACAGTGAGATAGAGTATAAACTTGCGTTGTTTAAACCTACTCTGCTAGGATCCCTTGTCTTTAATAAATTCCAATCATACCAATAAAAGGGACTTGTGATTCATCATCAGTTCCTTCACTCTTTTGTTGGAAGAAATGGCCTAATTCATCCTTTTCTCTTTTTTTTTAAATCGACCCAAAATGGGCATATTATTCAGAAATAGTGAGAATTCGAGATCCGATCTATACATTTTGTCAAGTCTTCTGCGAATGAATTTTTTCACATAACGATCCAAGTCATTTTCTTTCGTGAATTTATATGTTTCATGTGCTACCATTTAGTGGCAGCGATATACAAATCTTAAGTCTGCTCTAAATTTCTGCCTTAGCAGCTGTTGGTGTGTTATCGGAAGAAATGGGAAGAGGCAGAAAAGCTAAGCAGAAAAAGGAAATGAGTATCAAAAGAAGCATTGTCTGAAAACTTCAGTGAAGATCACTCTGTTGTGTCTCAACCATTCAAATTTCACACAGGATCGTTGCATTTTTTTCTAGACAGTAAGCAACTGATTTATATATGGACAGCTTCCTGGTTCATGTATTTTCCAGATTACAGTCTGTTACAAACCTTCGAATCCTCCTTTTTTAAGAGTTGAAACATCGGTTCGAGTTTTTTTTCTCAATCAGGGCTCTAGTCACTAAATTCAGATCATCAGCGAATATATGTGCAGCAAAAGTATCTGTGCACTGTATGAGGTGCACATGATATACTATGAATAAGTACGCGCTTAGAGCATTACTCTGTAGAAGACCAATGAATATTGGCAACTTTTTGATTTCTGTCTCGCTGAAAAGATCAAAACCTATACGTATGGTAAGTTAGGAATACTCAACCCTCAACAGAGAAGTCGACATTCCAAATGGATGTAATTTGATAAATAATGCAGTGTGTCAAACAAACACTGTCGTCAACCTTCTTGTAATCAATATACATCGGTAGAGTAGATGCATTCGCATCCATATTGTTATAAACCTCTTGTAGGATAGACAACACTTTTGTGGGAATTAGGCAGTTGCGACGAAACTCTAATTGTTCCGTAGGAATACTATTGTTCAACTTCGCCCAACTTCGAATTCATACTAGCAAGAGTGTGTTGTCAGGAGAAATATCGGGCAGTTTGTTCTGAAGTGGGAGTGCCTATCTTTTACTTGTTTAATGTAATAGTCTTCGCTTTTTTTCATGTATCGGGAAATCTACCGTCCTCTAGCCAGAAATTGAAACACTAGCAAAGGAATTACATGTATCCTGAAACCAATAGTTTTAACATGAAGTTAGAAACGAAATCATATTCTGATGATTGCGTGGATTTGAGAAATTTAACACATTCCTCTATCTCATATACACTAGTTGGCTCAATTTTTTCTAGATAATTTGTAAGAATTTTTCATAACTTATGAAATTCGACCCGATGACTGAATTATGTGAGTCTTTACTCTCAACCATGGGAGATTGAAATTGTGTTTCATACTAATTTTAGAGTTCTCCAGCTATTTTTTTGCTATCTGCAATAACTTTATTGCACACTCTTAGCTTAACAAAGGTGATGGATGATGATCTCTCTGCATCCACACCCAACACCCTGTACTCACACTTCCAGTGTCACCCCACACCAACCACCACACCCACACCCAAAATTAATAATAAACCTGGCATTCCTATATGTTCTCGTTATTGATGATAATAAAATTGATAAATACGTTATCATCTTGTATAGAAAACCTACAAACACAAATCAGGGTTTTTCACATGAAAGTAACTAATGCCGTAAATATAAATTATTATTAATTCGAACATCAGTAATTCACATTTTACTTATATGCTCAATAAGTATCATAAAGCGAACGAAGTAACATTGATGAAACAAACATAAAAAATGGATGAATATCAGTAGTATCTAATAAGAAGAGGAATACTAGAAGGGAAAGTAATTGTTGAGATGTTAAATAACATTCATGATAAACAACCGAATTTGCCTGTAAAAACTAGCACATTTTTTACATTCAAATATTATGCATTAGAATAAATTATCTTTACACGAAAAGTCAAGCATATACATGGCAAGTATATGCCCCTCATTAATGCTGATATAGCTCTTATATTGAAAAATATATTCTTACTAATTCAAAAAGGTTATGACAAAACCAAGAAAGATAAAATTCGTTTACAAAATTCCTTGTTTGAATTGTGATAATTGTGTTATTGAGGAAACTGGATGAGAACACTGCACAAGAATGAAAGAACATCAGAAAGATATTAAGAATAAATCAAATTTATTAAAGATAGTAAAAGAGATTAATGAACACAAGCCTTCATTCAATTTTAATGAAGTTGAAACATTAACTTATGAAAGTAATTCAACTCGCAGAATAATTAAGTAACGCATATTTATATCCAACAGTTGCCGAATCGAATCAATTTTTACTGGTTCGTGTTCGGTTCGGTTTCAATTCCTGATGTAAAACAATTGAACAAACGTCATCCGACAGTTGTCCAAAGCATCACAATTTTTCAAAAAAGATGATACCACAATCAATCTTTTTTCTTATACATTTCTCCACATTTATTCGCTTTTCGAGAATTAGTTCGGGTGTGGTTCAGTTCATTTTTGACCCCCCCCCCCCCAATTCTTCGATCATCAGATTAATCATCTAAGGACGCCAAGTTTAAATTAAACATTTTCGGATAATTCATAATGCTTGATCGCAATGTTGCGAATAAAAAAGTTCCACGAATATGCTTCATGCGTTAAAGTTATCTATCAATTAAATTTTTTTGTTGTTGCCATATTATACATTGTATATATCCCCCTGGACAAAAATAGTTAGACTCGGTATTTCGAATATATTTCCACTATAAGACCACACTTTTTTTTAAAGTAATTACATATTCTGAAAGCCCGTGGAGTTTTCTATCACTCTGTATAATTAGGTTTTAGTTTCGACCTATTCATTATCAAAATAAATTGAGAACAATGAAAGCACCCTCGTGTCGAGATTCCCCATAGACAGGATNATTCAAACTGTTGATGATTGAAGTATTCTTTGCTGTGATTGCATCGATTAATTCATTCAATGCGTCTTTGAGTGTTTGTTGAAAAATAATTCGGATCCAGTCGACAGTAGAGCAGTTTCAATTTGTTTGGCAGAGAAACAAGAAAACAAATCTACTAACGATCCTTTTGCACATTTTCGTTTCGCGCGTCGACGACGTGCTTCTATTTCTTCCGAAGAATGTGAAAACAGTGCTGTATCTGACCCACCATCTCGAACATCTCTACCACCGCCCACTAGTTTTCATTCTGTCAATGAACATGTCTTTTCTGGTTCTAGTAAAATACCTCAAGGCAAACCTCGACCAATGATCAGTTATAATCATGCTTCCAAACCACTCTGTATTGACTTTACAATAGCTTGACAAATGATGGCTACGATGTATGGATCGACTTAAAACAAATGCACGGAAGTACTCTAGTTGCAATGGCACAATGTATTGAAGACTCCGATATAATTCTCTTCTGTGTAACGGAAAACTATAGTCAATCACGTTATTGTCAAAAAGAAGCTGAATATGCATTTGTTCGACAAAAGATTATGATTCCACTACTTTTACAGTCGAATTACAAGCCAATAGGTTGGTTAGGACTTCTCATGGGTGCTAATTTATATATTGACTTTGCGAAGGGTGACTTTACGAAGAATTATGCGAAGCTGAAAAGTGAGATTGAAGCAAATGCACTGCGCATAAGCAGCAATAAAAATGATGTTCCGAAA